AATAATTTTTTTTCTTGTTTCTGTGATTCTTTTTCTTTTTTTTTTTGATGGCCTATCGAGTCATGATATGGATCATATAACATGCCTTTGTAAGTTACTGACTTTGTGATTCTTTTTCCATTTCTAGTCACAGTCATGATATAGGAAAATGTCATTGTTATTCATGGAGTTCTTGTATACAATTCATTTACCTTTTAATGAATAGATAGATAGTTTTTGTTAGCTAAAGCAAGCTCAGTTGTTGTCAGTTTAATAATTTGCTATATCGTTTCTATCTGTCAATAGATAATTGCAGGTATGAAATGCAATTCCCTTTTATATTGTGTCTATGTAGTATGTACATCTAGTTGGTTATGTATGTGTGATCCTATGGCACACAAACTTGGACAACATGTTCTTCAAAAGAGTTACTGACCTAGGAAATTTATGTTCTTTATTTCAAAACATTTTTCCTTTATTGTCGTGCCAGCGAAATTACTACACTGGCAGTTTTTACAAAATTACAGGGAGGCTCTACTTATGTTCTTTTCTTCCAGTATTGAACCTTTGTGACTTGTGAACTGCTTTATGGAGTCATGCACCGAATCAATGTTACATAACTGGTAGATGAAGACACAATGGGCCAGCAATTGGTCAATTAAACATCAGAATCAAATTATGTATGGGTTTGCTAAGTTCCAAGGCCAAGGACCAGCAATAGATTGAGTCACTTGTGACATGACTGAAATTATTAGGTATATTGATCCTCAACGAGGAGATTCCTGAAACAAAAGTGACATCAGTGAGCTCGACCGATGCTGAGGATCAGGTTGCTTTCAGTCTCTGATGAATTAATCTGGGCTGCACTGTTTTTCTATTACAAAGGTTTGTCTTACTTTAGGCATTTCTTATCACAATCATGCCATGGTGGAATGTACTGTAAATATTGAGTTTGTGTAGACAGTATCCTTGCCCCTTGAGTGAAACGTTGAATAGTCCTTAACCAAAGCAAGTTGCAATTACTGGGACATGTTGCAGCGCATATAGCTATCTGTGAATATGCGAATGTAATCTTTGCAGTGTAATTTCGGGGTAAAACTGTCTATTTATTTCTTATTTGTCATGTGTACAATCCTACAAAAGATTTTCAGATGAATTACCGATTAAGGAAGACAATTGATTGCCATGTTACTGAATGTTTATTTATGATCATGCTTGCAGCTAACTAAGATCAAGTTTTAATGGCAACACCTGTGCATTCAAGTGTTGCCTGCATTTTCCTGCCACATGCTTTCTCGAGCCTAACCAAGGCTTAGTGAAGTGAATACGTGGTTGTACGAATTATTTTCTCTGTCAGCTCAGTAGATCACATTAATACTAAAGTAGTTATAATTAAGTAAAGAGGAAGATTGGCCGTGTGAAGTTTTATCTCTCATTATGAACACTGTTTATTACATCATGGAGTTAGTCATCAAATTTGGAATGTGGTGGTTAGATGGATTTGACTGACTAGCAACAGGTTTACTTACTTATGATTTGAGGCATGTCGTTGTTATGGGAAAATACAAGGGACCAGCCAGAGGTTGATTGATTTGAGCATTGACTCTGCAATTATGAGGTCTATTAATCCTTGATTTAGATGACAGATTACCAGTCAGTGGTAGTTGTTTGCTAGTCTTCTTTGAGCTTTGGAAAATATTACTGAAATTGGCGTGGTTTTTAGAAGTAGCTAACATGAACAGGGTCCTGAACACAAACCCTAGTTAATGAAAACTAGAGTCGATACATCAACAGAAAAATTTTTTAAACCAATATCTTTCGATAAGTTCTTTTACTATTTAGAGAATTAGGTGTTTACTTGATTCCTGTTTCGCATTTGCATTACAGCTGTAGATTTGATATTGACGGTCAGTTGTCATTTGTAAAGAGTCTGTTGATTGTATACGTTAATGCTAACTGATGGCTGAAGAATAGCTCTATATTTCCTCCTTTTGGCTCCTCTCTGACTTGTTTGCATTGCATTCTGGAGTAACTTGTTTGATGTAGGAATGTCTTACTCTTTGTTTAATGCAAATAAAGCTTGGAGAGGATAAAGCAAATATCATATTTGCACTGTTGGTTTCGTGATTCCTTACACTTTCCACTCTGTAACGAGCTTGTTTTTTATTTGGCAGCTCCATTTTTTCATTGCAATGTTGATGCATTTGTATGTGGTGATAAGATTTTTCACAATGTAGCATATGTTGCAGGCTTGCAGCAGTTATCTGTTGATAAGAATTTTTTCACATCCGTTCCTTTGAGTTGAAAGTACACGTAAAAGAAGATTTACAGTGAATAGGCAGTTGCAAGATTTTATTGTTAGCCTCTCTGCTGTGTTCGCTGAAGATTGAGTATTTATTTTTCGCTGAAACTTTCAATGGATTGATAGTTAAATGACAGATTTTGTGCAGAAAGGTATGTAGAAGCTGAAGGAAGCTGGGTAAAATCAGATTTTGAGCTTACCTTTACAGAATTTTCTACTGAATTGCAGGAAGGTCCAACACTTTCCAGTTTACAGATGAACAGATACAAGTTGAATCATCTCGAAAGCTGCAATAAATGCTGGAAATAGAAAAAAAACCCAGGTTTTATGGACATCTACACCAAGGATGATGGTGTTGGGTAGAGGTGGTAGTGATAATGCTAATATGCTAATGAAAGGGATGGTACATGGTAATACACGGTGTTAATAGTTCTGTTGCCACGGCCACGGCCATCGGTCATACCTAGAACTTAAGAAGTAAGTGAAAGACAATCTTACTCTTTTATTGAGGAAGTTGATTCCAGTACTTGAACTTGCAATAAATTTTATTTCTCTACTGACCAACAAAGGAAAGCATAGATGTTTAACTTAGACTGCTTGGAGCCACCTCGAACTTGAATGGCAGAGACTACTGTAATGGTGCCCTCAGCAGATACTGTTCAACCTCTTTTACATTATTAGCTAGCTTAACTATACGAATAGGTAATCTTTGTTGTATCATGATGTCATGCTTGTATCATCTTGCACCAAGGAATTTTCTTCTTGTTGGGTTTGAGTTGGTTTTAACTGGTCATGGTCATGTTTTTTTATTTTTGAACACCAGATCAAAGACAATTGAGTGACCTAATCTTTCTTTCTTGGATCATATCATGTCGTATCATCATGCACTAAGGAATTTTATTCTTGGCTTTTTGGGTTTAAGTTGGTTTTCACTGGTTATGAATTGGTCAAGTTGACTAGAGCCATAATACTATACATTAAATAACACCATAAATGTTTTCATAGTTCTTCATAACATAATTGCCATCTCCTTGAATTCTAACCTCAGTCACACAATTTGACGCTCAACCCTCACGCTCAGACCGTAAATTCGTGGATTAAAAAGAGATTGAGTATGAATTCGCGTTTTTAATCTACTAAATCCGTGAATCCAACCATGTTCTTATGCCTATTTGAGTGGTCTAAGTAGTTTTTGGTATCACATATATATTTTTTTAAATCTACCATAACATCACACATATAAAATTTTTATATTTTATTATTTTTAAGATCAACGGTCACAAATAAACTAATGCCTCGTTACCAAAATAATATTGTACCCATGCTTTTTAGAATTAGATTACTATTAAAAAGTTTAAGAAGGATCAAGTATATGTGACTTTATATATATATAAAGAATATATATTTTTATGACTTGAATGTTGAGATAATTATACAAAATCTTACGCTTGCTTCCAAGACATTAGTTCCAGCACCGCTACTAATTAAACCTTACTGATATGGACCCTTTGGCAACAATATTATTAACATCTCAATTTTAAGGGAAAATTTCAGCTACATTTTTTTTTAGTTTATTATATTTTCAACGACACTTTCTTTATTTTTTGAATTTTCATTAATACCTCCAGTCAAATTAAAAGTGTTTATTAGAATATAATTTTACTAAATTGTCCACGATGTATTTGAAGAAAAATTTTATTCATACCCCCCCTAAATAAGCTTATCTTCAATGAGACCCTTTTTGTTTTCTAAATTTTTTTACGTATTAAAATTCAAGTCTATTAAATTTTGATTCGAATTAATTAAAATTTATTTTTTACGTATTGAAATTCGAGTTTATTAAAAATTATATTTTTTTACATATTAAAATTTCAACCGATTAAAAAATGTTTTTAGTCATTTTAATCAATATAAATTAAATTTTAATCAACTTGCATTAAATTTTAATTGACCCAAATTTTGATACTAAAAAAATATAAATTTGAATAAATTCAAATTTTAATACGTAAAAAATAAACTTTAATCAACTTAAATCAAATTTAATTGGCACGAATTTTAATAAATAAAAAAATATAAATTTGAATCAATTTGAAAACGAATTTTAATCGACGCTAACAATTTAAATAGAATTCAAATTGCCTTAAATTTTAATACGTAAAACGAATTTTAATATACTCGAATTTTAATACGTAAAAAAAATTTAATCAGCTCAAATTTTAATATGTAAAAAAATAAATTTAAATTAATTTAAATTTTAATATTTAGGGCTCAAATTTTATGTATAAAGATTGTTTGATGTTTATGTAGGGACATTGTTTGTATTTTAGATGAATATTTTTTTTTTTTGTTAGAAATGATGTTTTAATGGCCGGGAGTGTCAGTAATATTTTTAATAATAAAAATGGTGTTCATGAAGATATAGAAAACTAGAAGAGATATAGATGAAATTTTCTCTTTTCTTAAAAATATATGAAAAAGAGGGTAAATATCACTCACACCCCTGACATTTAATTTTATTACACGAATATCTCCTCATATTTTAAAAATGACATTGAGACCTCAATAGGTGATCGGCGTTAATAATATTATTAAAAAGAATATTTTACCCTTAATTAATTGATCAAATCGGCTCAGATCTAAACCCTCCCTCCATGCCCAAGACAACACTTCACGACTTGTGACCCATGACCTAAAACCCCGTATCCCGAAGCCCCAACAATTAAGCAATACCTTTTTTTCCCTCTTTCCCTGCACCACCCCCAACCTCCACCGTATTCCCTGCACCACCGCCTCCACCATCACACACAGTGCCCAAGAACACAGACCCTTCTACCCACAAAACAATGGCTCTCACAAGCACGAGTTCTATTTTCCCCAACAAATCGATTGTTGAAACCCAATCTCTCATACCTTCTTCCAAATCCCACCAATTTTCTCTCTCCACCAACCTATCCAAACCCACCAAAATCAATTCAATCCATCTCTGCCGTCCATTTCTCTGAGTTGTCCAAAAACCCCCATTGTTTGATTTGCCTCCAAAACCAACCACATCGGCTAAAGCAGCCACCTTAACAGCAACACCAATGGTGACAAACCCAGATAGAGTCTCTAAGAAATGAAGCGTGGATAACTGAAAAACCAAGAAGGCTCTTCAACTCCCGCAGTAACCAGATTAAGAAGAGCTCGAATTTGTGCTTCAGACTTTTGATTCTTTTCCTCCAATTGTCTTCGCTTGGGAGGCCAGGCATCTGGAGGAACGCCTTGCGGAGGCTGTAATGGGTGGTTTTTAGTGGGTTGTTCTCTCTCTCTCGTGTTGCCATCCCTTGTTGTAATTAGGTTTAGGCGATGGCGTAGGTGGTGGAACTAGTGATGATGGGCGGCCGAAGGAACAATTTATATAATAAATATAAATAAAATTAATATGGCATAATTGGATAGATAGTTATTAAGATTTTTAAAAATTGATTTATTTTTAAATTGTATTAATAATCCCAAATATCATTTAAACAAGAAGCATTCAATATTTAACTTATTAATTTGATGAGTAATGATATGTATTCTAATTTTGTAATCCAAATTTACATTTCAAATTAAGGAGGATTATTGAATCAGTAGGTCTCATTTAAAAAAGTTGATGGGATCCAATGATCCTCTTTGATTTGGGATACAAATTTAGGTTATAAATTTGGGATACATAGAACTATTCTATTTTACTAGATTAAGAAATTAAACATTTAAGGATTAAATTTTTAATCTATATCTATATCTATCTATACTATACTAATAAAAGTACTTTAAGATGAAAAATTTTTGAATTTCTATTTTACCCTTATAAAGTATTACAAAGACTACTCTATCCTTTCACAATTAAATATTTAAATTATCATCATATCCTTGTGTCTTTAAATTTCTAAATTGTCTATAACATCTTTTTTAATTATTTAATTAGTTTCTATAAAATGTTTTGATTGATTCTATTACCCTTAAAAAAATATGCATCATTATATTTTCAATAAAGTGTTCAAACAACTTTCAAAAACTCTATTAATCTAATATTACTCATGTCATATGCAAATATAATATTATGTCTGCATATCAATATTTTTTTATCAAAAAAATTAACTTTTTTATTTATGAGATAAAAAATAATCATACGTATAATTTTTTTAAATTAATTTATGTTATATCAGTATAATTTTTTAGTCACAATAAATTTTTTAAGTTATATTAAGATTTTATATAAAAATAGAGATTATAATATATTTTTATGTAAAACTTAATTCTTTTAGAATTTTAGTATGGTTAATAATATATATTATAGAGTAGTATATTAAATCTTATTTCAATTGACATAACTAATTTCTAAGTACAGTAAGGTTCTAATGTGATTAGGATATTAGCAATTACTTTTATTTTATTTAAGGAATTATAAGTAAAATCATAATCAAATGAATTTCAAACAAATTAATTTTTTAAACATCACTAAAAAACCAATTTCAATCAAAAAAATTCAAAAAAATAGAACTTTTAGTATTTCTTTTTTTTTTTTAATTATAACAAAGAATTTTTGGAACATACAATATTTTCATAATTGTATAATAGATTATGAATAGTAAAAAATTAAATTTGATAAATTTGAGATGATATTTAATTTAAATACACATATACCTAATATATTTTATTAACTTTTATATATGAAAACTATTCACGCGCAATGCACATGATGCATTGCTAATATGAAATAAATGGGGTAAATTTGTAGGGTAAAAAATATATATATTTAAAATTTTAGAAGGTATTTTTGGTATCCTAAGGATTGTATTGATGAGATTAGCTTTTGACTATTAACAATTTTAACGTCTCTTAGTCAGGGGGGTGCGGCTATTACAAGTTATAAATGTTAAGGGAGGTTGGTGTCATTTTTAAAATATGAAGGGGTGAATGTGTAATAAAATTAAATATCAGGGGTGAAAAAAAAAAGAAATGTAAAAGATTGAGGAAATGAGAAAAAAAAAGGGCATGTAAGATTACCCGGTCGTTGGTGGGACCATCACTCAGGACCTGCCACGTTGGCATAGAGAGCCATTTGAGAAACAAAAGCCAGGTTGTTTCATTTTTGGAGCTTTCAGTCGTCCCCGTCGCTGGTCTGTTGATCCCCCCTCTGAATTCGCTTCGCTGTCTCCATCAATCTCCAGTTCACAATCCAGAAAGACACATATATATACATATACATATGTATAGAGAGAGAAGCAATTGAAGGTATTGGAGAGAGGGAGAGTGGGAGACGGGGCTATGGAGAAACTAGAGGAGGACGACAAGGTGATGCCCTTGCCGGAGGAAGAGGAAGGAGAGCTGGAGGAACAGCTCGGCTCCAGCTTGACTCTTGAGAGAGTCGCTGCGGCGAAGAAATTCATCGAGAATCACTACAAATCCCAAAGGAAACATCTACAAGAGCGCAAAGAAAGGTAGCGATATATTATCGACAAATTCGTTTTCGGTCTTCAATATGTATTATGTTTAAAAATTCTACGAGTTTAGTCGGATTATGTTTCAATGACGTGGTTGTAGTTTCTAGGTTTGTTTTTATGATTATTTTGGTCAATTTATGGTTGATTATAACGCTGAAATTTCACATGGAAGCCGGACCACAAATAGGTAACACAAATATTTGATGGACAGATACCTAAATGTTTCAGCCTGAGATATACATAATACTGGAATGAAGTTTAGTTTATGGCGCGATATTGTATATGCCGTCCCTGTAATTGCAATAGTAGGCATAATATCTGTATGTGTATGATGTGAATTCAAACCTCATACTAAAGTGGAAACTTGCACGTGCAGAAAACTCATATTTGATTTCAAAGTCTAAGGTTGTGTGTTTCTAACTAATATGAATGCCGTGGAACCATGGTTACAGCAGTTGATTTCGTACCATCTTGGTGCTATGTAATTCTTGAGGGAACGGGTGTATTTGTGGTTGTCTGGTGCAGGACTAAAATTACACATGTTCTTGGAGCTTTGTTGTAGAAAACTCATTTAATTGAGCATTGACTTTTGGTGGGTTTATGGTGGTTGAACTTTTTCTTGTTAAAATATGGTCATGGAAGATAAACATCTTTTACTCATCCAGATAAGAGCACAGAGAGGTGGTCAAGTTTTTTGCACACAAATTATAGGCCCTTAGACAGTGGCATATTGCTGTTGATATATATATATTCTTGCATTATCTGCTGGGTGTTGGGTACACGTTTTTGTTTTGCATTACTGGTGATGACTATGTCAGAGTTTTATGTACATACACCTTTTGTGGTTAATCAGCTAGCATCAGTGTTTTATGTATAGGTTTTTATGCATTCCTTGCCGTAGTGAAATGCCAGATCAATTGCTTCAGCAAAATGGCAAAAATGGTTGGATGGAGTTTTCTGGTTTGATTCTGGTGCACTTCTTGAAATAATTTTACATATACAATGTAGGCGGTCGGTACTCGAAAAGAAGTTAGCGTCTTCAAATGTATCAGAAGAGGAACACATGAATCTTTTGAAGGAATTGGAGTGCAAAGAGACAGAGTACATGCGACTAAAGAGGCATAAGATTTGTGTGGATGACTTTGAGCTTCTGACCATCATTGGAAGAGGAGCCTTTGCAGAGGTTTGAGTTTTGCATATATTTGTTTGGGATAAAATGCTTCCTTGTGATTCTTTTTTTTTTTTTTTCCTTCTTCTACATATTCACCTTCATTTCAAATTGTGAATTGGATGTATTTATCAAAAGAGCTTATAACATACTAACTGCTTCTGAAATAAGTGAAAGTCATACAAGCAGTAAACAAGAGTGAATATTGAAGCAGTGAGCAAACGACTGTTGGTGTACTAAGATATTGCACAACCCTAACCTTGATCTTTTGTAGTGGATATAAAATTGATTATTAGTCCGATTGGAGGACGAGCTTTGCAGAGATTATAGAGAGTGGGTGAAGTCCAAACTCTCAGATCCTTTTTGTAAAAATTCCTAAGGTACAAAATAACTGGTGTAGAACAAGTGGAATGCCACATTCTCATGCGAGTTTTAGCTCAAGAATTGATGTTGAGCTATGTAGAAAATTAAAGTATTTGTTATAGAATTTCGAAAACTCGTTGACCTTTATTTTATGGTTTAGCTAAATTCATGCTTTTCACAAGCTCTTGGAATTTTCTTGATTGGAGTATACTCAATTTGTTTAACTTTGAGGTGGCCTTTGTATATCTCCAGCCTCCGCTTCTACGTCATGTAGCAAGAGATTATCTGAGTGCTTATATAAAATCATCTCACAGGTTACACTGTGTCGGGAGAAGAAATCAGGCAACATATTTGCCATGAAGAAGTTGAAGAAGTCAGAAATGCTTAGCAGGGGCCAGGTGTGATCAGAAATCTTTAGCAGCTTTTATACCGTGTTCTTTTGTTGAATGAAATCTTTTTCTCGTGTTTTATGAGTTATGATATATTCTTTTTTCTATACCTCTTGTGTTTTTGTTGTACTGGTACTCACTAATGAGGATGATAATATATTATGAAGGACTTATGCTTGTGTCACTCTAAGCAGGAGCTGTTTTGTTCCTTCTTGATTTAAAGATATTCTACAAGAGAATAATTTATGTTCCATTATATCTTTTTTCACACCGTCTCTTGATTCATCTAGTTAGGACTGATAATCGAGTCGAGACTGTTGAGCTCGTCTTTCTAAACGAGCCTAGGAAATTGTTCAAGTTCGGCTCGTTTAGAAAATGAGCAGAGCCCAAAATGAATTGAACCCGAGATGACCTTGAGTAGTTCACCTATTTTACATATAAACGAGTCGAGCCTTGCGAGTTCTAGTTAAACTTTTTTTGGCTCTTTTTTAAATGAGTAGCACGGCTCAATTATCAGCCCAACATCCAGTGTTATCCAGCCTTACCAAGCCCAGTAATAAGTCTTGTACAATGATGGGGGAATCATATTCATTCACTCAAATTCTCATAACACAAATCAATTTTAGTTAGGGAAACATCAATATTGCAAAAAATCTGCACACCAACTATGGTCTACTTTGTTCTTGCTCAAGACTTTGAAATTTTTTGCCACATTTGCCATTATGTATTGGTCTGTCAATTGTATTGCATTTCTTCTCCACCGCTTGAAGTAATATATTATTTCTAACTCTTATTATCTCCTAACATCATAGGTTGAACATGTTAGATCTGAAAGGAATTTGCTTGCAGAAGTCGCTAGCCACTTCATAGTAAAACTCTTTTATTCCTTTCAAGATGCTGAATACTTGTACCTAATAATGGAATACCTGCCTGGTGGTGACATGATGACTTTGCTCATGAGAGAGGAGACCTTAACTGAAACGGTGGCTAAATTTTACATTGCACAAAGTGTTCTGGCCATAGAGTCTATTCATAAGCATAACTACATCCACAGGTTGGTATTAAATGTTGCTGGTGACAGTCTAACAAACTGTTGCTGAAAACTGTAAAATTTTTAAAGGCATGTATGAAAGTTTATGTTTTAATTAGTATATCTTATTAGAACCGTATTTTTACAGAGATATTAAACCGGACAACCTTCTTTTGGACAAAAATGGTCACATGAAGCTCTCTGATTTTGGGCTTTGCAAGCCTCTTGACTGTTCGAATTTGTCTACTATAAATGAAAATGAAGTGATGGATGAGAAGCATTTGAGGAAGTCAGTGGATGTCCTCCCAGATAATGGTAATGGAAGCTGCTGGAATAGCCCACTGGAACAACTTCAGCATTGGCAAAGAAACCGGAGAAAATTGGTATGGAGTAGATTCTATTCCTATTAAGGCGATACCTTACAAATACGGCATTTCATCACCTATTGCTTCAAATTCCAAAAGTTAGCATGATTCTAATAAAACCACAATATGAAATTTCAAGGTAGATAGAAAGATAAAGACGAAAGAGAATAAGAGGTTTTTGATGTTGGGCTTTGTGTAGGCGTACATATGCATTCCCCACTAGTTATCCAGACTATTTGATTCCAGTAAGAGATGCAAAATGATTTCAAGAAGGTTTGGATATATTCTTAACAGCTATGTTGTTATCAGGTAGATGTGATGTTCTTTACCCCATGGCTCATGGATTGGTGAATATCATATCATGGATCAAAAGCTGTTTTGCTTAAGACCTAAAAATCTTAGCTTCATTTTTTCTTTTAAGTATTTGTGTGTAATGATTAATCTTCACCTAGTCTTGGGTTGTATGAAAGAAGTTTGCAACAGTTATGTTACTTGTTACTTGAGTTGACTAATAGAAATTGATATGAACACAGTTTGACAGGATATTTTTAAATTACTTGCAACAGCGTAGAACTAAACTGCAAAGTTTGGTAAAAGGAGTATTTTAAAGTTTAAACAATATGTTAAAAAATGCATATGTTTGTCAAGTGAAAATGTATATTTTAGGTTTTTTTTCTTGTGGTGATATACTTCATACTATTAAGAGAACTTGTGTTCCACATCGAATAATTAGGATAAATAAGATTGGTCTATATACTTGGTGGGTCTCTCCGCCCATTGCCAATTAGTTTGGGTTAGATGCTATAACATGACATTAGAATTGAGTGTTAAGTGGTTAGTGAGTCAAATCTCTTATCCATTTGAATTTCTCGGGATGCATAGTTGTTTGTTTTTTGAACCCACGTGGTAGCCCAGATCCCACACGAGGGAGGGTGAGAGACCTTGTGTTCCGCATCGAATAATTAGGACCACCAAGATTGATTTATATATTTGAGGGACCGCTTCACCATTTTCAATTGATTTTGGGTTGGATGCTCTACCACATACGTCACCGTATATATTATAAATAAATATCATATAGAGATTAGAATGATAAAGGTACAAATATGATTAGATTTTGCATGTTCATGATATTTGTACCAGTAATTCAGTTCATAAATTTGGGTTCCCCTTTTCAGATTCTTAGGTGTAATTGTTGATTGTTTGGCGAAGTTGGTGCCTTGGTGGGCCAAGGAAGATATTGTTGAGATGGAAAGCAAACCCACCATAAATTGATGGCTCTAAGTTTGTAGCAGCCTCACACACTTCTGTCTACTAAAATGCTATTGTTGTTAAATCTATGTTCTAGTTGTTAAAGCAAAACACCAGTAGGACTAAAATTGGCACAAAAATCTCCATTTTGAAGGTCCCTCCTTTATTTTGAGTGAATCCTCCACCAAGAAGGTCATCAGATTGAGATATGTGACTACCTTGGCACCATTACTTTATTTCTTGGTCCTACATTCTTGGCTAATTTCCTTTTGCAAGTTCATTGATTGTTTCTTTATAACTCTATTCTTTCTATTAAGCTGCATTTTTTATTTCAATCCGTTTATCCTTAATGATGTCTTAATTATAAGAAATTTTCAAATCTTTACATCTTCACGACAGGCATTTTCAACTGTGGGGACACCTGATTATATTGCTCCAGAAGTATTACTGAAGAAAGGCTATGGCCTGGAATGTGATTGGTTAGTTTTTTTTTGAAATAAATGAGCCTCTATTTGGTCAATCAAACAGTATATTATCATCATTATTGTCTAGCTTATGACTTGTAGTTTTTCTTATCCACCAATTTTGTTGCATTGAATGCTATGCCACATGTTTGGACATGAAGGTGGAGCATTAACTTTTAGCTTGTACAATACTGTTGTAAGGATATTATTGAAACTGATGAGTCGGAAAACAATGTTGCAATGCTTTCTAATAGGTGAAATAACAAATTTATGAGCCATTTCCTGCTGCAGTTGCAAATGCTTGGCATCTGAACATGGGTCCGCATTTGACAGGCACCCACTTAGTGAAAATACAGTAAGGAATTAGACTCATAGCCTGTCCACCTCTTCCAACACCTTCAAATTGATGTTTTTAGGAAAGTATGCTTCTTCAAAGAAAAGGTATTCTGGGAATGACGAGTAAGGCTAAAAAGGAAGTAGCTTAAGTGAACAATGTTTCCATAGAACTCTATAATTCCAGCCAAGCTGGCCATGTTGCTAAAAGTTTGAAGTATGATACCCACTTTATCAAGAAAGGCTAAGAACACTAAAATTCACCAATTTTGTGGCAAGAGTTTTACATCTTTTTGGCTCGACTTCATGGTTTCATTGTTTTGTGTTTTCCTCTGGCTATGGACAAATTTAATAGCTTAGATAGAGTAGGCCAATAAACTTCGTTGAGAATCCTACCAATTTGCAGGGGTAAATCAGTTTCGAGAGAAGTGGTCTTTTTGAAATGCTTGTATAAAGGTAACCGGTTGGTTGTTCAAAGGGATGGTGGATCAATTGACGGTGTTGGGTTAATGTAATAGCTGACATCATAAAGAGCACACAATCACATCAAGTGCAATTTTCTTTTGTTTTTGTTAAGGATGAGCTGTAACAGATATAGAAAAAAGTTTTGGCATATATTTCGGTAACACATTAAATTTTCAGACGTTTAAGGCAAGGGGACATTTCCTGCCTTTTTTTTTTTATATCTTGGTTGGGGAGGCATTTGATACATTTTTCTACATACCAAAGGAAGGAAATTTGACAAAAGGTGTTCAAATGGGAATGGGATCTTATTTTTTGCTGCCACTCTGTGTACATATTTTGTGTACCTTAGATGGTACCCGAACTCTTTTTTTTTGTTACCAGGTTCTTTTGTACATTGTTTTTCCTTTATGAATGAAATACCCATTTTATCCATAGAAAAGGTTACACTTGTGACTTCTTCTTTGGAAAAGGTGCTGTTTACTTGAGAGTTCAATTATGTCATTTTGCGCCATCATTGTTGCCTTTGCATTTAAGTGCCAACTTTCTCTTCAACCATATGATTTGGTACATCACTTTATTCTTTCAATCTGCTGCTTGCAGGTGGTCGCTTGGTGCTATAATGTATGAGATGGTTGTTGGTTATCCTCCATTCTACTCTGATGATCCAATAACAACATGCAGAAAGGTGAACACACCTTATGCTTTTTGTCTGATGTTTGCGAATATTACTTCATCATAACTTGACATATAGAGTAGGATATAAACTGATGTTCATAGAAAGCCTTGGATGATACTTGACCTACTTTGAATGTACATACCAACCAAATTTCTGTTTTATCTCAAGCAATCCTGGTATTTCTTTTCGACTTGACTATCAGGTATTGGTTTTGTTATGATGGGAAACACTTAAAACCATCATGATGTGCTGGTTAATAGTTGATCTAAACATAATCCATCTGAAGTATTTCAAAATGTTTAATATTTTTGGTCGTCCAGACTACCAGCTCACGAAACTTCACCTTAATCTACTACCTGCGCTATTCACCAATTACCATGAGCTTCCATTGTATACTTATACCGATTCCTTTTGTATCCCTCTATATAAGAATGATCTTATTATGGGCAGTCCAAGGAAAACAAGAAAAGTCAGACCAAAAAGGAAAACATGAAAAGAGTAAAAACCAAGCCCTTGGAAAAGCAACCTAGCATGCGTGTCCAAGCAAATGATCCAGGTGACTATAGGGTACAAGGTGATATCAATCGCCTAATTTTTCTCCCGGAATATACTGCTTAGTTAGTTTGGTCCAATGTTGTTTTTGTGTTCCTTGGTTACCTCATGCACATACCCCCGAGATTTATCTGTATTCAACTAGATCCCGTCCACTGTCGCTCAGAATGTCATACTCCAACTATTTCAGTAGTTAATCCTCTGCTTGGTAAATACCGTCACTCTTTATCACACAAATGTCAAATGAAGTTTGGCGTTCAATTCTGTTACCTTGTCTGATACCTTTATTATAAACTGCTACATATAACATCTGTGGTGGGAACATCATAAGCAAGATATGGTAAATGACTGCATTATGGTGTGTCATTGGTTTGTATTTTTGATAATTGAATTATTGTGGCTCAATAGTACTGCTGTTACTTTTACTAGACTTGTGTTGTTTTGTGTGAACTTTGCCACTCAAATATTTCTAGATTATCTCCTTTCCTTAATTTCTAACTTTCCTTTAACAAAGTGATGCTTGTTTATTTACATGGTTTGATGTTATGTGCTGTGTTTCTTGATCTGTTGACCTTTGTTTGTTAGATTGTGCACTGGAAAAATCACTTAAAATTTCCAGAAGAAGCAAGGCTGAGTCCTGAAGCAAAGGACCTGATCTACAGATTGCTTTGTGATTTTGAGCATCGTCTAGGTTCTCGAGGGGCGGACCAAATAAAAGTATGCTTCTATGAACTATAATTTGCAATCCTTTATCTTTTATCTGTTTCGTTCTCATGTTCTTTTAGTGAATCGATCAGGCTCATCCTTGGTTCAAAGATATTGTGTGGGATAAACTCTATGATATGGAGGCAGCATTTAAGCCAGAGGTTAATGGGGAACTTGATACTCAAAATTTCATGAAATTCGATGAGGTAGAATCTCACGAATGGTGATTTTTGTAACAGGTTTCTCGCATTTATTATTTTTGTCTCCTTGTCTCACTTGAGATTGTAATCTGGCATGTTTTTTACCATAGAACACACTATTTTCAAAGGTTTGGTATGAGTGATAGATATTGAAATGTTAGCACTCGTCGACAATGATTATCAAAGTACATGATTTATGACTTACAAATCTCATGCTATGTACTGAATGTGGGGCACAGCTGGAATAGAAACTTATGAGAATTGAGAACACATATATTCATATGTTTTCATTGTGCATCTTGAATTCAGTTTGCTGCCTTTTTAATCAACATACCTGATATATATATTCAAATTATGCCACAGGTTGATCCTCCATCGGCAAGAACTGGTTCAGGACCAAGGAAGGTATGGATTTTTCCTGTACAACGGGAAAGGAAAACCTTGTTTATATAAGTACTTCTAAAATTTTTTCCTTATACCATACCTATACCACAAGTAAAAAAGTAACACCACTTTAGATGGAACAGAGGATTCCATCAGATACCTCGAAGGAAAAAAACCTGCTCCATTTTCCACCATGGAGATGCAAAAACCTTTTGTCGCAAAGAGCCCCAAGTTGTCCAGATGCCTTTTTGTTCATCTTGTCCTGTTGATTCAAATGCTTTTTACAGGAGATTGAAGAGGGTTAACATCCCAATCATTAAATCTTTCTGAAGGAGGATCTGTTGATTCGCTTGCATTCCTAATTTAATGTAGTAATTTGCATCCTTTTCTTCCTGAGTGAGATATAGATGTCTAATTCTATGACAAATTTCATTGTACCAAGGTTTTTTTTAATCATGCTGTATATTAGCCGCACCTAAAGAAGTGGGGGAGGGGACCAGGGTGGGAATGAGTCCTATGGAGGAGGTGTTACGGATTTTTGATCCAAGAATGCCCTACGCATGTAAGAATTTTATGAGGTAGACAAAGTATAAATTGATTTAGACAGAGAAATTGAAATGTCACAAAGAACACATTTTTCATGACATTAAAAAGGTCATACAAATAGTGAAATAACTACAAATAACTAATGCTGCAAACTAGGTTATAGAACATATGATGCCTTCATTGCCATTGCAAGGTGTTGAGAACTGTGGATGAAAATTCATGGCGAAATATGCTATCAGCCATGCACATTGAGCTCTTAGTTCTGCATGACTCTACTTGTCAAATAACAAAAACGATTCTGCATGATTTCATTTATTTGTCGTTTAGAATTATGGTTTGCCTCAGATCTGTTTTTCAAGTTCTGCCTGTGAGAATCACGCCACTGTCAATATATTCTCACTGTAGTTCATCGTATTTATTTAATATTGTTGGCATATGATAATTCACCTTATTACTGAATGAAGGTCTGTATTTAATCTTTGCAACACCTTTTCTTGTACTTGTATTCCATATTCTCCTTAAGTATATGCATTCCAAAACCATTGAACTCCATTCCACAAATGAAGTTACACAATATAGTTCAACCATGCCCGAGGGGCATGCAAGGCAATTCTCACAAATGAATTGCCTCTACAGGTGAAAACTCACCTAGTCTACAAAGAAGAAAGTGCCTCTCACAAACCGAGACTGGATGCACAAACTCAACAAATCCTATTATATATCGTAAGGCTCTAGGATCAACACATATACCCAGGTAAAGAAAATACAAAGTAAATCAAAGCACATACACAATGGTTTCCCTCACAACCCGAGGGAGTACATAATATACCTTACTCCTAAGAAGGTTTCTTCTCATATTTCTTGGCTTGATCATCCTTTTTATTCATGGATTGTGGACTTAGAATTCTAGGCTTGAAAGCAGTGGAGGTATCCACCTTGGAGTTTTCCATCCCGTAAAGCTTTCTCCACGACTTGTTTTCTGTTGGCATACTTTGAAGCTCCATTTCCAATCGCAGAACTAGCAATCAAGAAGGAAGTACACTTCTTTGCACGTGAACCCATCACTTGGTGTAATCTATCATGAAGTTTCTTCCTATTTTCCACTTACTCTAAGCCATTAAAAGAGCTTGAGATTTCCCATTTGTGCAAGTAGAAGTTGAGACTAGTACTTTACTAGAGGACGGTTCACAATTTTCTTTCCTCTTCCACATCTTCTCACCTGTCAATAGGTTCGCTTCATTTCCCTTACCAACGTCCTTCCTCTATGTGTGGAAGGGAGGTTGTGTTAGGGTTAGAGGAGGCATCACAGAAGAATGGTCAAAGTGCTCGCATTAGAGCCAGTTCGGAGTTTCCATGGGATCTCCACCTTAGTTTCATGGATAACACCATTTTCTAGCCAAATTGGCACCTTGGAGAAGTGAGCTCCAGTCTATTGGATATTACCATTCTTTGAAGACAAGCAGCATTCCTCCACAAAAATGATGGCCTCCCTCGAGGATTTCTCCAAATGTATCCCTGTTTTTGATGATGAAAAACTTATTAATGAATGTCAACACAACTTCAATGCCCCCTCTTCATTGCCATATTCTAACACCATTCATCTGCAAAAAGTATAATTTATTCGCCCCATCTGAAAACATTCCTCTTTTTAATACCTTCTCATATTTTCTATACATACCAAGGCATCTTATTATTTTCTTATAATTTTGCTGGCAGATGAAGTTAACTACGAAAGACTTAAGTTTTGTTGGCTATACATACAAGAATTTTGAGGCTGTCAAAGGACTACGTCATTCCCTTGGTGTGATAAGTTGTATTTAACGTCAATCACATGCAGCAGTGTGTGTAAAAATATTGCAAAGCACTTTTTCAATCTCCTTATCCAGTTTTTTTGAATTGGCCTCTGCAGCGACAATTCGGAGCACATCACCTGAACACTTATCAACTGATTCTGTCCACAGTAATAGATTCTGTCTCAAAACTGACATCTTTCTTCTGTTCTTTAAAGTGCTATAATGAGGCTGGATTGTTCTGATTGTTAATATGCATTTGTAGGTGATTCTGGAGTTGACTACTCGGCCAATGACACTACTAATGATGCAGAAACACTGACCCATGCTGCTTCAGCTGATAATCTCTCACAATGATGGGTAACCAGACATTGTCATCTATAACAACCTTTGTAACAGGACAGGCCCCTGTATGAAGTTGATGGATTTGCCTGCTTATTTTCGGTCAAGTTCATCTTTTATCTGCCATGTGAAGTGAACTGCCGCAAATTTTGCAGAAATCTTCTAACTGTACAGTAATATTGGAGGAACTTCCAGAAAGCCCTCTAAATGTTCTCGTGTACAAATTAGTGAGAACTGCCAAGGTTGGCAGATCTGAATATGCCTTCAATTGTGACAGTTTCTGGCCATTTTCCCCTTACTTTCCTCAACTAAATGGTGTAGATAACTCCGAAATGCTCTAGTATCTGTATCAGATACAAATAACTACTAGTGTACGGAATGCCATGGAGCTTTTATTGGCTGAACTATAAAGGAAGTTTTGAGGAATTGCTTTTTTTTTTTTTCCAGTAGTGTCTTGGAAATTGACTCGACGGATTTTTGATTTGTTTTTAACGTATGAATGTTCCTTTGCTTATTAATTTTGTTGATTAGATTTACTTTGGCATGAAGTATTTGGGTTCTTCAAACTCTAAGCAACATGTGTAGTTTACTATGTTTTGGGTACTACCCCAGATTATGCAGAGAGGATTTCCTAATGGAATACAATAGGGCCTGTTTGATTCTGCAGAGTCAAGTTGATTACCTAGGGATTTGGATTCCTCCACTGCATTTTCCCTCGGTTTCTAGATTCAACTGAGAGTCACTACATAGGAGTAGGCCTCTCAATCTTGTCGGACGAGGTGGGTTTGTATTAAAGTTTAATGGGTTTGTGTCAAAAAATATTTTATTTATATTTGATTTGTTTATTAATTCGTGTCTAACAAATCATGTCATTTTAAATTTGTGTTGTGCATAAACCATATAAACAAGTTGAATTGTGTATTTCTTTTAATTATTTTTATCCATACTTGATTTGTGTATTAGTCGTGTCGTTTTGAGTTTATTCATTTATCAAATGAGTGATTTAAAAAAAATTTAAATTTTCTAATTTTATGTCATGTCATATTTTCACACCCTACATTGGATTGAATCTTTTAACAATAGTTGTAAAGTAAAGGACATGTCAAAAAATAGTGGAGGCCTCTTGCTAGTTTTAGAACTCTCAAGGTATTTTTCACCATTAACCACCTTTTACGATAGCTTGGCTATGTTTGTTTCCATTGTATTGACACAAGTGACTCAGGGAAAAAACGTTCTAATTTATTTTAGCTTAATTTTTTTTAAAATAATGTTATTTGAAACTATTTTGGAAACTAATCAATTGTAATCACTAAATTGAAAGTGAGTACCACATTACATTAGAGCACAACTAATTTAACGACTACATTAAATTTGGTCATCGATTAAATTTTCAAATTAGGTATATACTTATATAATGTTTTGGTTGATACAAACACACATTAAGCTTCAAATCCCACGTTAAATCATTAACTCAATAAAATAAAGACAAAATGACTTGTTCATTGGTGATTTTTACATATCTCTTTGTGCATTATTGTTTAAATATCAAAGGACTAATTATTGTTCGTGCCTGAAAGCACAGAGTAATAAAAAATAGTAAATAATAAACATATTTATGTTCACAGTCAAAATCAAATCACAAATATAGAGAATAGATAAAAGAATTTAAGAATCGGTTTATAGTGAGAGATGAGAGGTGAAAAGTGGTGGTGGGGGCGACAGTGGCGACGACGACAGAGGTGGTGGCGGCGATGATGATGGCAGTGGTGGTGGTGGTGGTGGTGGTGGGGGTGGGGGTGGAGGTGGTAGAGGTAGTAGTAAAGTGGTTTCAAATACTATTGTTTTTTAATGTATTTATGATAAATAATTTATAGAAGTACTTTTAAAAAGTCACTCCAACACATACTCTTAAAGCCAATTTTTTTTATCAAATTTATGATATTAATATTAGCCGTTAGATTAATTTTAAAATAAAATTTAAAACAATCTCAACCGTGAATAACAAAAATTATTTTATTTATCTTTTGATATTTGAATTATAAGCTATTTTATTATATTGGTTCTCGTGTTATTATCAAAAATACGGGACTATCAATATAATTTATCCCTTTTTGTCTTTTATTGTTTGGAGATTTACATTTACATTCCTCTAATTTTTTGTTCTTTCAAAAACTACCCTTATAATTTTACATTACACTATATTCTCGTCTAATTTGTTGTACTTTGTATTTGGAACTCAATAATTGGCTAAAAAATTCCATATTGTCTTCTATGGGAAAAAAATAACACAAAATGATTTTGGCATCATAAAATAAAAATAAAAAAGAAAAAGAAAACACAAATAACTCCTCTTTGCACTAACTAATCATTATGGCCAGCCCTACTGCATCGTCAACCCAAATCACTATTCAACAACACGATTCTATCAGTATTACCCCCAATTTACCATCACCTTCTAAATCATCACCGCACAAAAAATCTAATTTTCCACACGCATAGAAGAATAATATTATACAATTCAAATAAAATCTAAAAATTTATAATTCAAATGCATATCATTCATTTGATGAATGAGTCCCATCAATTTTATTCTTTTTTAGTGAAATTCACTCATCCAATGAATGATTTGTATTTGGATTGCATTTTCTGAATTTCATTTGAATTGTATAATATCATCTTGCATACAAAGAGGAGGGTGGTAAAATTTTCAGTAAAACAATTGGAAAACCCTTGAATCGTGCTCAATATTTCATTAGGTTTATTTTTTATTTTTTTGATTAATTTATAACTCAATGCAATTTTTATTTTAGATATTATTGATATACGATAGTATACATTAATTTTTTAAATATTTAAATTTTATGTTATATCGTATTTTCAGAAACAGGATATTGTTATTGCAATATTGCATGTATACTTCCCACTTATCCCAAAAAGAATGTATTTTAAGTTATTACCAAAATGGCAATAGAAGAAAAGGAAAAGAAATAATGGTTTGAGCCGTTGAAGCCGACTGACTGACTCAAAGCTTTTATTCCAATTATACCCATTCTCTAATGCCACAACTCTATCCCCTTATCACTGCACAATCGATGGGCAAAATGATAATTTTAGGAAAAGCCAAGCTGCCAACGCAATTCCGATCATAACACTGTGCGGTCTCGTCTTCAATGGCTTCGAACGAACTTTCCAATTCGAGCTCACAAACTCTAAAACATATATCAGATTCTTCGAATTTCAAATCAAACCTTAGATTCCTCGAATTTGCGTAATCGATTCCGCTTCATTTCACAGGACGAGTATTTATGAGCTCGTAATTACATCCAAAGGTATATCTATCTATATTTCTATCTCTACATTTTTACATTTACATTTGTTGTATCAAGCTCTAGGGTTCCAGTTTTTTTTCCAGAATGATTGTGTTAAGCTTAAGGTAAAGTACGCCTATGCTCTTCTCTTTTGTGTCGATTCAACTTTTAGGGCTTATACATCGGTATCTATACACATACATACATCTATCTATACGTATATGTGTGTGTGTGTGTGAATATGGATTCCGTTGATTGTACTGAAATTGAGGTAAAAATTAGCTATAATAGTCTGAGTTGGCACGCTGTTTAGCTGAATTTGTGATGATCAAGTGGCTACGTTGACTGTAATGCTTGGATCAAAATGAACTCGTTAAATGAAAATAAATAAGCTAAAAGGACGGTGTTAAAGATGAAATGATTTTTTTTTTCTGGGGTTATCATTGGCTGCAATTGTGGAGATCAAGTGTTAGTTTGAGCAATAGAGAACTTCATAAGAACAGAACAAGGAAAAAAGGAGATTTTTTAAAGAAGGGAATCCTTGAATATACTTGTTTACAAACTGTTTATTTGGATGCGATCATTTGTAGATAATTACATGTTATTGGGGCTTCTGTAGAGGTTGTGTAACTCAGGAATACTAACATGGTTAATGAGTTAAGATGCATTTTGGGTTCAAACTTCAAACATAGTTTCCATGCGGTCATTATACGAAGAGCCCGATTTAATGAGGTTCAATTGGGTTGTTTTCTGGATCCCTTTTATTTCTCTTGCTCAACATATGTTCCCTTTTTGGTGGTGGTGCATGCATATGTCACTGACTTACTGCGTACATTTGTACAAGGTATATTTTATGTGGAGAATTTCCATTTCAAGTATGAAGGTTGCATGTGCTCTCATACTTTTATGTATGTGGACATGCGCACGTTCTCATCCATGTTTTCAAGCTTCTGATAATATGGGCACCTTGGGGATGTATTGATGTATGATTTGTAAGTTGACAATCTTAGGAAAGGCCATGACCTGTTTGTGTTCTTGTGAAAACAAGGCAACTAGAGTGTCGTTTTAAGTATGAACCTAATTCTTGCTGTGCTACCATGAAGTACCTGCCCTAAGACTTGGAAGTAGGAACCCATGCTCTTCAAGCTTTTTCTACCATAGATTTGGTACTTACAATATTTTTCCCAGTTGAGGCAGGTTTCTTCTTCTTTTAGTTTTTCGATGCTCTTTTTCGTGAATTAAGTCATCACGTTTCACTGTTATCTTTATGTTCCCCAACCAAGATATAGGTCTTTACTATGTTCCCTTCAATAGTTAGGGCTTCACTTTTTAAAAACCACCAAGGATTTTAAAAAAGCAACATGGCAACGACTAAGTTTGAATTGGCAAGGATCTGAAACCTTTAGAAGAGTATGAAAACTGGTCGAGAAAAATGATCTAAAAATAAATAAAGATAGCACTTGGTGCAATAGTACAATTGCTCTATTGTGACTTAAGTGTTGAATGTTTGAGACATGGAAAGAGTTAATTCACATGCGGGGTTAGACTACATATATATGGCGCTGCTTGGACTCCGCAGCGGTGGTAGCCTCGTACACCGGGTCATTCTTGCATTTTGGGGGGGACCTGCTAATTTGAAGGGTTTATTTGTCAGGGCTCCTAGATTTATGGATATCATTCTTGTTACTTCTATGGTCTTCTGAAATTAAATTCTGCAGGGCTGTTTTAGAGTATGGTGCCAACTCATTATTGCTACTAAGCTTGGTATCAAACTTTTCTACTTGTGTTATAAATTTGCAATCTTGTGTTTGCCTTAAGCTTTAATTTATTGTTCCTCGCAGGGGTACATTCAGACTTTAAGCTTGGTTTTCATGCACTATATTACTCAGTATTGTCATGCACAACTGTGTTAACTGGGTTCGTAACAAAGAAAGCGTGTGGAAGCTGGTGCTATGGCAGCATCTAGTAAATTTGATCTGTCATCTGGTAGCCCAGATAGGCCATTATACTCCACTGGGCAGCGGGGATCCTACACAGCTGCTTCATTGGACAGATCGGGTAGCTTCCGGGAGAACATAGAGAACCCAATCCTATCAGCTCTTCCAAATATGTCAAGAAGTAGTTCAGCTGTAACACAGGGAGATGTGATGAATTTTACTCGGTGCTTGCAATTTGATCCAAAATCAATGGTTGCAGACCATAAATTAAATCGACACGGGGATTTTAGGCGACTTACAAGTGCTGCTCTTTGCGTTTCGCCAGATGATTCTCCTTCTGCTTCATTGAAAGGAAAACTGACACCTTCTCACCCACCTGAGGAACTAAAACGACTCAAGGCTGGGCTTCGTGAAAGCTATATTAAGGCCAGGTTGCTGCTTATAATTTTATTCATTTAGTTCTTCCTTTTTTGTCCTTTTTGGATTCCATTTGGGGATGTGTTTAGTTCATGAAGTTTTATAATATGCCAGGGAACGTGTGAAGATATTCAGTGAGGCCTTGGCTGCAATGAACAAGTGTTTCCCAGTTGCATCAAGAAAGAGATCTCGATCGGATGTGTTGTCTGGTGACCGATCAAATGCTTTAATCCCAACTGATAGGTCAGGTTTGGGGACAGGCGTTGGTAAGATGGGGGCCCAGAGTCATACCATTGCAACTAGTTTTGAACTTGAGCAACAAAAACCAGAGGAGAGGACCAAAAATGCTGTTCCAAACAAACGCACCCGAACTTCTATGGTGGTATGATGGTTTTGTCATTTGGACTTAAAAGTTTTTTTAGTAACATACTTTCTCAATTAATGTTTGCTAATACTACATTTCCTTATAAGGGTTACTGAGGACAATAGATAGTATGATGATCTGATGTGATTGATTGCCGTTTGCACTAATCATTGGTTCTGTTGATATTTTTTCCCTTTTCAGGAAGTTTACTTCCTTTCAGCATTCTCCTATTCTCGATATACGTGTTGTAGTTTATATGGCAACTCTCTCTTTTAGGAAACATCTTCCCCCCCCCCCCCTTCTTCTCTCTTGGTGCTAGTAGTGGTACAGTTTGTCCTTGTCATTCATAGCGTGCTCATTTTTTGCTGGAGAGCCACATGGAATTACTAATTACCGAAAGAGGATCTCTTTTTTTCGTGAAACTTTGGGCTTGTTCATGAAGGGAAGGATGGCACCATTGCCTGTGTTGTATTTGCATTTGTATCCCTGTCCAATTGAACAATCTACTTATGGTGCTTGCTACCTGCTTCAAATCATTTGTATTTTTGAATGTATACATAAAAAGCAAACGCATCAGCATTAAAATCTTTTTTGCATTTCTAGTCTTTCTATTATGGGGTGACGTGATTGGGCTTTCCTAGTTCATCATCCTTTTCATCCCATCTTTAACCTATTGCTTTGACAAAACGTCTATCCTTTGTTTTGTATTAGTTATTGCAGTAGTTCTCTTTGGGATTGCTCTTAGTTGTCATGTCAGAATGCTATGTTAAGCATTCTTAATTGGTTCCTCTTCTTTCACCCGAGTTTAGTTTCAACCATCTATGTTTTGATTGATCCAGATGGATGTGCGGGCAAATACTCCTACAAGGCCATCCGGGAATGTAGATAGGGATAGGGAATTGGTAAGAGCTCCAAATAGTGGTGCAGTTCAGTGTGAGGATCGAACATTATCCATAGGTGTCGATGGTTGGGAAAAGTCAAAACTGAAGAAGAAGCGTTCTGGGATAAAGCCAGATGGTGCTCCAAGTGCCTTGACAATGAAACCTGTTGATGGCTACCGCGAACCCAAACAAGGAACACAGCCAAGACTTCTTGCTGATGCACGATCAAGGTTAAATGATACACATGGCTTCAGGTATTACTCCTCAAAAAAGTGCATGGTGTCATGCATCTGCCTGTAGTAACCTTCTGAACTTTTAGCATGGGTGCATTTGTTTCACACCGTGGTATAGATCTTTTAGAAAACTCCAAATTGGAATTTAATTCATATGTGGATTCCCCTAGTGACCTAGAAAGATTCGAAGTTGATGGCATACTTGTTGATTACCCTAAAGATCAAATTGAACTGGCTGTAATTGAAAGTGTAGGATGAAAAAAATTCAACCTTAAGAGCTTTTGTCTTTAAGAGAAATTAAGAAGGCAAACCCCTCTCCTTGGATAAATCTAGAACATGAGTATATTTACAGGAAAGTTAGCCATCACATGCTTTTTAAATTATTTGTATTTTTTGTTGTTCAGTTCAAGTTTTATTTCTTGGAGTAATCTATCCCAAAAAACATCAGTTATTTCTAAAGTAACAATCATATATATTTTATATAGGCCTGGCATTGCGAATGGGGCTGTTGGAGTTGCAAAAGCTGATAGCACCTCGCTCCAGACCGGATTGGGCCTGCGTTCTTCAATCCCTAGGGCTGACCAGGATAATAATGCCCTTCTTAATGAAAGAAGAGATCGTCCTACTAGTTCAGAGAAGGAAAGATTGAATCTTAGAGCTGTTACCAAGTATGGAGAGCATCTTCATCACATTTTTATTTCATTTACTTATATAGAAGGGATTATCGCAGCTGTTTTGTTCTGTGTTTTGCTTTTTAATGTTATTTTCCTATTTGGTCTTATGTTCTTAGTGGGGGAATACTGTACTTTGTTGAATTTTTTCCTCTCCGATTTTAATTTTCTTTTTTGAAGTCAGATGATTTAATGGTTGCTATTCCTATTATCCTGTACAACCAGGACAAATGCTCGAGAAGATTTGAGTGCTGGTAGTCCTACCTCAACCACAAAACTAAATCAAAGTGCTCGAGCTCCACGGTCAGGTTCAGGTGTTTTACCCAAGTTGTCCCCAATGGTTCAACGGGCAGCTGCCGCTAATGATTGGGAACTTTCTCATTGTACAAGCAAGCACCCTGCAGCTGTTGGGGCTAACAATCGTAAACGCACACCCTCGACACGGTCTTCATCACCACCTGTTGCCTGGGCTGGCCAGAGGAATCAAAAGATGTCCCGTATAGCCAGAAGAACTAACTTTGTGCCTATCGTTTCTAGTAACGATGAAAGCCCTGCTTTGGATGCTATATCTGATGTTAGTGGTATTGAGAATGGACCAGGATTTGCGAAACGCTTTTCTGGCAATTCTCCTCAGCAATCTAAATTAAAAGGTGAACATTTTTCGCCAGCCACATTATCAGATAGTGAGGAGTCTGGGGCTGTTGATTTGAAATATAAAGAAAAAAGCAAGAACTCTGATGAAATGGATGAGAAAGCTGGACAGAGCATTCAAAAGGTGTCAGCCCTAATTTTGCCACCAAGAAAGAATAAGATGGTTAGTCGGGACGACCTTGGAGATGGTGTTCGGAGGCAAGGGAGGACCGGGCGTGGTTTTGCATCCACTAGGTCTCTCACACCAATGACAACTGAAAAGCTTGGCAATGTGGGAACAGCAAAACAGCTTAGAAGTGCTGAACTCAGATTGGATAAGACTGAAAGGTTGACCATGCTTTCTACCCTATATTTGGTTGACTGATAGCTCTATCCCAATGATGTTGGTTTACTCTAATAAATTTCTTACAACTTTGCAACCTTTTCTTTTCAGCAAAACAGGTCGACCACCCAGTCGGAAACTCTCTGATCGCAAGGCTTATACACGTCAGAAGCATACTACAATCAATGCAGCAGCAGATTTTCTTGGTAGTTGCACTCCAAACTATACAAATGTATTTTATGGATCATCATGTAAATATTTGTTTTTGATTGTTGGTCTTTAATTTTCTTAGTTGGTTCAGATGATGGACATGAAGAGCTATTGGCTGCTGCAAATGCTGTTATTAATCCTGGTATTCTTATTAAGAGTTTTTGGTTGGTTTGTTGTCCAAATATTTGTTTCTTTGTTTTATTGATCTACCTAAACTTTTTTACTACAGTTCATACTTTTTCTAGCTCATTCTGGAGGCAGATGGAACCGTTCTATGGCTTTATAACTGATGTAGACATAGCCTATTTAAAGCAGCAGGTGATTTCCCTTATTTTCTTAGTAATGCGTGCATAACATCATGATGGAATCTTTTTCAATCATATGGTTTGTTGACTTGTCAAAAAACACCATTCAGTAGATAAGGACCAATTTTGTGAAGGGAATGTATCTTACTCAATCTTTTTCAATTACTTCTAAGTTGCATTTAATTTTCTGGCTTTGCAGAATGCACTTTTTTTTTCTTCCCAAGTTTTGTTAACTTTTAGTTCATTGTATGAGATGTATTTTAAGCGTAGATTGTTGTTTTTATAATGGTTGACGGTCTCATACTTGTCGTTCCCAAGATTCCAATTTTAATTGTTCTAAAGAAAGGAATACATCTCCTTGCAAATGCGCCCTAAGAAGCGGGGTGAATTAGGTTTGCACTTCACAAATTGCAATTTTTATGCTTACTCGAAGAGATGAGTTATCCAAATTGAAAGATTATTGTCATTCAGTGTTGTTTTATATGATTGAGGGTTTCTATTTCAAGATCATGATATCGATCGTCAACTCGGAGAGCACTGATACGCATGGTCGCAACATTACCGAACAATATCAAATGATACACATGAATTGTTGAATGGTAGAAGTTGAATATGAAGAGATATTTAGTCCATATCATGCTATCGTAGAGCAGTATTGACCAATTTGATGATGTGGACTTATACAACTTGGGGTTGAATTGGATAGGTTTTTCTCTGACTGACTCATGCGAGGCTCGTAGTTTACACGAACTGTGGAACGGAAGGTGTTGAATTGGAACGATATTGGCCTATATTTTTAATCATGTGAGGGGTCTCTTCACCCATTGTCAATTGGTTTTGGGTTCGAACTTTTTAACTTGGTATTAGAGCTTAGTCTCAGATGGTTAGTGTGCCAAATCTTTGACCAATTTGAATTTTCATATGTTTACCTCTATGCTATGATTCGGATTGTTAGCTCAAGTGCAAGTTAGATTTCACTTGAAAGAGGGTGTGCGGAGAGCTTATATACCACATTAATTGATTAGGAATACCTAAGGTTAGTTTATACAGTTGAGGGGTCTCTCCATCTGTTTCCAAGTGAGTTGGAATGTATCTAACACGTACTATAAGAATATCGAGGATTTCTTTTTTGTGTTCATTTTACCAGTTTAATGCCTAGTGTTTCCTTTTTCAGTTTTTTGGTATTTGTGTTGCTTATGCTTTGGTCAATATGAAGAACTGTTGCTAACACCAAATTGTAATAATCCCGTTCCTGTTGTAAGCATGGATGGTTGCTTATTTGTATGAAGTTATTTGAAGGACCCAATTGTGTTATTAAGATATTGTTTTGCTCTGTCATGTTTGTGTATTTTCCTTGTGTATGTGCATTACGCCACTTGTTAATCAAAATTTGATGATTGCTTTTAAGTTATGGATGTAATAGAAATTCCCAACACACGTGCATTATTTAATTTATAAGATTTGTGTGGTTGATGCAAAAGTTAACACCAAAGTGGGAGGCCTCTGTTTTCTCAATTCTGCTGGATGATTTGTCCTAATCCTCCTTGGTTATCAATTTTCTTACAGGGAAATCTTGGGTCCACTGCGGCAACGTCAACCGCAGAACCTTTTGATGCAGATAGTTACTGTGCAGTCCCTAATGGATTTTGGTTGATGGAAACTGTGAGAGATGCAACTGAAACAAAAACTGTTGGAATCAGCCCTGATTATTTAGCTTCAGGAATGAGGACTCCTAATGAGATTCCCCTTTACCAAAGGCTCATTGCCGCGCTAATTCCCGAAGAAGGAAACGAAGAGCTTTGCTGCAGTGGAAATGAAGATATTAAATTTGATGCCTATGGATCTGGATTGGAGCTGGAGACAGATATGGAATGTAATACTTTCCATCACCGGATGTCAAGAAGCATTGAGCTTGCTGGAGCTGATGGTTACAAGATTAATTGTAACGGGCGGTCATTTAATGAGCTGGAGCACGATACGCGGGATCACATTGTGGCGATTCCAGACACAGAGATTACTTCAAACTTTGACCATTCCCAAAATGGCTTACTCCTAGACCAAGCAATGATACCTGGCACAGCCTGTTCTGAGTATCAGTATAATAATATGTCCTTAAATGAAAGAATCCTTCTTGAGGTTCATAGTATTGGACTTTACCCTGAACCAGTGGTAGGTTCCCTTCTACAAGAGCTTTGATTTTGAATGGGAATCCTTTTTTTTCCCAATACATATGATCGTTAATCATTTCTACCTGGAAAGACTCTCTCTCATCCCCCTCTTGTTTGTGGCTGGGATGGGTTTTTTTTTGTACTTAATTGGGGGTTGGAGGGGAGTTTCTTTTGTGGGCCAGTTCGTATAAGGTGCCCTAATATATTATTTTGATTGCTTGTCTCCTTTTGTCAGCCTGATTTAGCACAGACTGGGGATGAAGAAATCAGTGGGGATATCAGTAGACTAGAAGACAAGTACCAAGAACAGGTAAAAAAATAATTGTAAAGTGAAATTCATTTATTTCACGGTAGATTCTCTACCCCCCCTCCCACTGCCCTGCCCTTCCAGGGGGTGGCTGGTGGCAGGTGCTTCTGTTAGTAAACGTTTGTATTGTGCGTAGAGAGAGAGAGAGAGTCTCTTTGTCCTTTTCCCAAGTGGTAAGCATGTCAAAGTGGATCTAGAGAGTAGGAATTGAAAAAAAAGAAGAGTAATTTGCATGTATTCTGATTGGTTTTTCCCGTAAATATCTTGCAATGAAATTTTATTCCTCAGGAGCCTTGCTTCATTATTTAGTTGATATGATAGGTTTTCAAGAAGAAGGGCTTGCTGGGCAAACTGTTAAACTCTGCTTCTGAAACCAGAGAGCTTCAAGTAAAGTGAGGATTTTGTCTTTTAATTTTAGATGCTTTTTTTTTTCCTAATGATTTTTGCTCGACTGTCGTGTATCTTGATTCTAATCCAAATGTTTTAATGGCATATAGGGAGTTTGAACTGCGTGCCATTGACAAACTCGTAGGAATGGCTTATGAGAAGTATATGGTAAGTCTGGTGTTCAATGCCCATGCCTTTTCACTCTATTTGGGTGTTCTGAGACTTGAATGCATAATTTTGTGTTGCGTTTGAGGTAAATAATATGTATCTCTGTCTGACTGGGGATCAGAATGCTTTATCATGTGCTTTTTGTTTGCGCATGACCGAATGTCTTGTTTTCAATAAGCCCGGTGCACAAAACTTGCCTTTTGAAAAATAATATTAGGCCAATCATGTATGGAGCTATAAATATCATCATCTCAAGATGAGCGGGTAGCTGAATTTCCCTAACTTAATATAGTTTTAATGTCCTCTAATTATATTTATGGTATGCAATTGAGTAATAATTTTGTAGTTTTGCTGCATATAATTGATAGCCAAATAGAAACCTTTCTCGATCCACCTACAGTATAGCAAAAATTGGCTTGATGCATTAGTGAAATTTTACCTCAATAGTTACAGTCCACATGACTATTCAAACTAAATGTCAACATTTTAGGGGACACGCTTTTGAACCTTAATCTGATAACTCTACTCTACTCTACTCTACTCAGGCTTGGAATGTGTTAAGAATCCAACCATTTGGGGTTGTCCGCTGTCCTAATCTTTCTTTTTTTTTTTTTACCTGTGTGTGTGTGGCTATGTTAGGGTATCCTGTGAAATTTCTCTCCTCTCTGGCTGCATCAGGTATCCTAGCCTACGTCCAGGCCGAGTTTGGTTTAGTAAACCCGTCCCGGTTGTGCTTAACAATCTCCACTGGCCAAACAAACTATTGGAAGTGATGACACCTAGATTTGAATCTGAAACGTAATCCTGTTTGTTGTCAAATCTTTGCTCACTGCCTCAACTCACATTCTTCATGGCCTACTCTAGTTATACCTTCTATTTTCAATCAAGGTTTTTCTGTGCGCATGGCCAATCATCTTAGTTAACTTTAATTTTACCATTGTCTGATCCACCTTTAGCCCCTCAAAAGGTCAGTAAATTTTTCTTGACATGGATTGCTACTCCTCTATATTAATATTCTCTTTTTGCACATCCACTGTAAAAGTAGTGTATTGCTATAGTCAGAAATAGAAAGAGGGAGATTAACTTGCACCACAACCTGTGATTACACATCCCAGTTGGATATAGTATTTGAGAAGGTTTTGTACAATAATTTCAAAATATTGTTTCAGGCTGATTCTTCCTACTGGAAATTGCACCTTTCTCCAAATAAATGCTATGACTGCATCAGAATCAAGGCATGGTGTTGTGATGACTTCTCTTGATTATCAATAGAGTGTTGTTTGTCATTTTAAAAAAAAAAAAAAAAGAATCAAGATATGGTGATGTATGCACTACTGCTCTGAGTTTTATGAATTCAATAAGTTTTTCTATAGGAATCAGAAATGAAGGGATAGTAGTTTAATAACAAAAACTGCTAAATATCTTAATCAAGTGACAGAACTACTTTTTATAGGTTTTGTTGATAAGAATACGCCCTTTGAAATTGAAGAAAACTTACTGTGCATTATATGAGTACAAGCACTATCTGCTTATAATCATTGTAGTCATATTTTATAAATCTCATAATGATAATATCATTTTTATGACTACTTATTTCAATTAATTTTTTGTGAGAAATTCATACCAATAAATGCTGTTGGAACTTCATTATTCTTACAATTGAAATTGTTAAGAGAGCTTGTATCCCACATGAATAATTAGGACCACCTTATATACTTGATGGATGGGTCACTCCATCCATAGTCAATTGGTTTTGGCTTGGATATTTTAACATGGTATCAGAGCTAAGCCTTGGTGGTCAACGGGTCAAGTCTCTTACTCATTTAAATTTCTCAAAATGCATAGTTGTTTGTTGGTTTGTTGACCCCATGTGCGAGCTTGGGTCTCATGTGAGGGAGGATGTTAAGAGAGCTTGAATCTCACATGGAATAATTAGGACCACCAATGTTGGTTTATATACTTGAGGGATCACTCACCCATAGTTAATTGGTTTTGGGTTAGATGTTCTAATAGAAATATTGAATTGTCAAATTAAGTCTTTTTTTTCCCCCGCAGAATGCTCCTGGGGGTAAGAGTGCCAGTAGCAAAATGGCCAAGCAAGCTGCCTTAGCTTTTGCTAAGAGGACATTGGAAAGATGCCATGAATTTGAGGAGACAGGTAAGAGCTGCTTCAGTGAGCCCTTATTTAGGGACATGTTCCTTTCTGGATCTTCCCGCCTTAATGATGCACAAGCAACAAAGACTATTAGCGATGGTGAATCTGGCAAACTTTATGTCAACACATCCGGCTGTTCTTTGGAAGTTAGAACTTCAGGTAATTCATTTGATACCACCCATAATTCCTGGAGTTTGCTATATATACTATCATATGAAATTGGTTATCGGATTGGCATGTCTTAGATTGGTTATCGGTTTATTCTAGCCTTTTATTTAATGATTTTTTTTCTCTTGGTCATATGCCAAATCTGAGTGGGGGATTGTGACTTTGTCTCTTCTGCAGCTTCCCTTGGCGCACAGCAAAGCCCTTCTTTAAACACCCATGAATTTTACTCCTCTGCTGTGTTTTCGTCAGCAAATCTCTCTTCTGAACAAATTATTGGCACAGAAGATACATGGTCAAATAGGAAAAAGAAGGAGTTGTTGCTTGATGATGTTGGCGGGACAATTGGCACATCTCCGGGTGCCCCTTCAGGCATTGGAAGTTCGCTTTCAAGCAGCGCAAAAGGAAAGAGGAGTGAGAGGGACAGAGAGGGAAAGGGGAACAGCAGAGAGGTGTTATCCAGAAATGGAACTACCAAAATTGGAAGGCCAACATCAGGGAATGTTAAAGGAGAAAGGAAGTCTAAAACAAAGCCTAAGCAGAAAACAACTCAGTTATCTGTGTCTGTCAATGGTCTTCTTGGAAAGATATCGGAGCAACCTAAAGCAACAATAACTTCAATGATGAAGTCAAGTGAAATGATTGCAAGTGGCAGTGCCAAGGATAAAGATGACTTTAGTTTAGATGGATTGGAAGACCCCATTGATTTATCTAACCTGCAAATCCCTGAGATGGATGTTTTAGGCGTTCCTGATGATCTTGATGGTCAAGGGCAGGACCTTGGTTCATGGTTGAATATCGAAGATGATGGACTACAAGATCATGACTTTATGGGCCTTGAAATTCCAATGGATGATCTATCTGATTTAAATATGATGGTCTGAGGTTGCTGTTGTTGTACATTCCTGTTTAGTATACTATTTACTGAAGAAACATCGCAGTGTCAAGATATGACCAGTTACATGGATGGTCATTTGACTGACCACTCCATAATTAGGCTACAAATTCTTTCGGATACTCCTGGACAAGTTGATTCTCGAGTGAGCCCTTCGGATGTTTTGGATTTTGCTCCTTTTTAAGCTGGTGACTTAGACTGTAAAAATCTTTTTGTTCAACGTACAAGCTAGTATGTCCTAGTCATTATATCGTAGCAACCACCGTATTCTGGTTGTGACAATCACATATCAGAGAACAATGCCCTCTGTACATAAAATTTATGTTTTCAATAAAGTCAGCTTTTTGTTCATTCAAATATTTGCATTATGTGCTTTGATACATACGTATTCATTCATGTGTTCTCTTTCTTTATCCTATCTTTGTCTCAGGTTTTCTTTCTACTGTATCCTGCAATTACTGATGACAGTTTGGTTTTATAGGATGCGGAAACATCTTATTGGTAGTTGTCTGTATGACGTTCATTGCTTGAGGGCGAAGGGTAAGATCTTGCCAAAAAAACTCATTCAAGAGGCCAAGTATTAGGCAAACAGAAAAATTGGCAGATTTGGGGGTGTCACCTGTTGATCCTGATCTGTTTTACTGTAGTTTTCTTCAAGTGTAGTATATAAGGTTCTGGATGTTTATTACAGGTGGGCCAGCTGCTGTGACTTTTTACCACCCTTCCGTATTGATCTTGTTATAGTATTTCTTTGTAGATATTTCAGCTCCTGTCTTATTGTTGAACTCCTTATGCTTCTCAAATAGTTCATTGCAGTCGTAAAATTTTCAATGACTTCATGATTAATTGCAGGTAAAATGGTCAGTCCATTGTGGTTGCTGGGTTCATCCATAGCTGGTGAAATGCTAGGGGGTGTCATCTTCAGAAGGACATTGACTTACACTATTACTTCCTTTAACCGAGGTAAGTTTTTCATTCCCTGGCTTTCATTTTCTTACCGAGCCACATATATATGACTTGCATTGATTGGAGTTTTTGTTTTGCCTTCTTTTATATGTGTGGAATAATTATGCTTCAAGGCTGCTTGACGATAGAAATCTTCAAATCTCAGTACTTTTATCTTGAATTTATCTTCTGAGGAACCAATCCATTAGGTTCAGTCATGCAACGCAAGCCCCCCCTATCATCGTTGCTAGGACCATGCATTCGGTACCGTTAACAAACACATTTATAAAGTAATCTGATCTAACAGCTAAGGGATCTGTTGAGGGTTCTAAAAACTGTTATCATTTTCTTGGTAGTTATGAAGTTATGTTCGTTCATTTGTATGAATGCATGCCCGATTGTCTTGATTTGGAACCGTTAAGCTTTCCCTCAAAACCACTGTACTGTGGTTTTAGTTTTTTGCTTGCCCTTGCCCAGCTGGCTCACTAATGCTGTTGTCCAATAATAATGTTGGAAGTGGAATGCAAGATGCACGTGAAATTTGAGAACACAATGGAACTTGAATTTGTATGTGGCTTTTAGGTCGTCGGAGTACCTGCCAAAAGGAAGAAAGTTAACACGGAACAGTCAGCTTACTTGTCATGGTAGCGTGGACTTGTCCCGACCCAAACCCCACATAATACGGTAAGAAAGAGGCAATATTTTTTAGCTTAACAAAATACTCTAATTTTTTAACATAATGATACTTTAAATAATATAGTTTAAACAAAGAAATTTAACAACCAATAACAATAGGGTCAACTATATCCTTTGTTGCAATAAGTTCCCCCTAGTTTCAAATATTGTAATATACTCCCTTTTAAGTTTTAAGTGGACTAAATTAATCGACAACAACAATGGTTGGTTGAAATATGGAAGTACAATTACACCTTTTATCTTATACATTATTTTTTATTCTTTTTTTTTTGGAAATACCATGTCCATAAAAAATAAGAAAACTAAAAAATTAAACCACAAATATATTTGTTCAACCCAACGTCAACTCACCTCCACCTCCACCTCCATCAACACCAACACATGCGTGTGCACACGTAAAAAAAGACACACTTTTGGAGTTAATTGAAAAACATTCAAACATAAAAAAAGATATTTGTTATAATTAAAACTTGAAGGAGTAAATAATAAGTTATTCAAAATTAAATAAAATATTTAGTAATTTACCCATAATAATATCGCTATTAGATCTAGTCAACTGCTTTTTAAGTTAGAAATGTAGAGGTCTGCAATTAGCCTAATAATTAACTTTTGGATTATTAAATTAGGTAAAAATAATATTTCCCTTAATTTTAAAGTCACGAGGTTCGTCGTCCATTTCTCATGTAATAATAATAATGCCTGACCCCAAAAAAAAAAAAGTAGAAAGACAGAAAGGAAGTGAGAGAAGAACAACAGAGCAAGAGAGGATGAGGTATTTAGGCAAAGCCAGCGAGACCCTCGGTGACTAAGAGCATCTTTAACTCACTCTCTATTTCTTTTCTTTTAGCTACTTTAATTAATCAAATACAAGAAATTCTCTTCAATTCACTCTCTATTCCACCATCTATTTCCTAGTTATGGCTCACCAAATATGGTGAATCATTTGAATTCTCTAAATTTTCTCTCTATCTTTTTTTCTCCCTATCTCTTTATATATATGTTTTATTTTTTTAAAATTATTGAAAGTTAGTGAAAATTGGGTGTAGTAGTTAGCTAAAATAAGATTAAAGTGAATTTATAAAAATAAATAATTAAAATAGTTAATGTAATATTTAAATACTATTTTAAATAGGAGGATTGAAGATGCTCTAAGGGCCGCCATTGCTGTTAGTTTTTCATGAGAGAGAAAGGTTAAGATCCATTCTCTAATTACTTCGATTATTAGGGAAAAAAACTCTTCAAGCTTTTCAAATTTCATTATTATTGTTTGTATTTGTGCTAAACTTTCATGAGTTTTCAATTCGATTCAATAGAATTCAACGGACGGAATTTCAATTGCATCATGCTTCGGAAAACCTAGACCCAATCATGCATCGAGAGAGATCAGATTAATAGCATAAAAAGGGAAAAGAAGAAATGCGGTCGATGATTCGACCAATTCAAGACACAGTTGCATCGCATCGCAATGGTTGTGAATTACTACTAGTCCTAATCAGTGAACGTGGGGTTCCTCAGTACAGGTATAGTCTTCTCGTCATTGTTCTTTTATAGCCAAAAGCTACCTGAGCCTGAGGTGGTTAATCATTCTCAACCTCTGGTCATCCTTTACTGCATATTGTCTTTCAACAGTTTTTGGTAACAATTTTCAAATTTTTTTTTTTTTTTTAATTATTTGCAAGTAACATTTATTTTGTAATTTCATTCTTTTTTTCTTCTTCTCTAGATTTACACTTTTGCTCCAAGTTTAATAGTATATTACACACACATCTATCTATATCTATATACATAAAACAAACAAATTAGTAGAGAGAGGCTTGAGTTCCAAATTGTTGATTATTAGAGTTTTAAAATTTTTAATTATTTCCTTTCAATCATATTATCTCATATGTCATATATAACAACTACTCCCACCAGTTTTTTAAACTACTTTACTTTTGAATTTTCAATCATCTTTCATAACTATTTGAAAATTTTTTTAAAAGATTATTTTAACACATTAATAAGTAATTATCCAATAATATTAGGATTAAAGAGAGTTGGGGTTAGGAGATAATAGGGAGAGGTTATGAATTTTGTTCATTTTTAGTAATTAAAATTTGTTTTATTTGTCTCTGTCGAACTAAAATTGGTAATCGAATCAAATTAAGTTACTATACAATAGAATGAGGCTAGACGCACTCCAAATTTTTTTTGAAGGATTTTATATTTTTTGGATGGATACCAAATCTTTCAATTTCATAGCATTGTAATTTTGATCTCTCTAACCATAACTCAATGTTATTGTAATAACTTATCCTAAAATATTTGGTATGAAACTGAGACATTAAGGGTCGATTAAAGGGTGGATTATAAATTTTAAGATTAAAACATTCTAATCCAATTTTGTACTTATAATTAACTGTCAAAAACACTCCGTATTATATATAAATTTATTTTATATACATATAAAATATGTATATAAATAATACATTTTATCTGTATTATTGAGAAAATTTTAATATTATTTGAAGATGTGATATTATAATCTAGTCCAATTGTATTAGATTATAAATTTATTATTTTTGTTAGCAAATAAACAAATATAGGAATAATAAATTAAAATTGATGATTTTTTTTCAATTAGTAATAGTTTTAATATCAACGGGTTTATGGTTTAATAGCACTCCTTAATTTATGAATGTTTTGTAATCAAGGGTTCAAGTCTCTTCTCTTTCAAAAAAAAATAATAATAATGCCTTTAATACGGAACGCCCGGGGAACTTCTGCAGTTGAGACTAATGTCAAACTTTCCGCCTAATTAGGGATGACAGCAGACTAAAGCGGAGGCGAGGGGTGTAGTCTTCATTCCGGTACCTGTTTAAAAAAATTTTGTCCATCTTTGGTCCACCCCCGTTAAAAAATATAGTTTTTATCCCCATTCCTGTCTGCTGGTAAATTTGTAATCCCCGCCCTGACTTCGCCTTCACCCCCACCCCACGCCCAAACTCAAGTCCAACATAATCCAACATTGTAAATAATCCAAAAAATAAAAAAAATTACATGTCACAAATTAAAAATTACAACATAATTATTCTTATCAACGAGGGCTAACATTTAGTATAATAAGTAGGTAAGAAGTCTATCCAACGCATTTTGAGCAAAAATTTTATCCACCAATTTTCAAAAAGTAAAAACCATATTTAACACTATAATTAGAATTCAACAAAGATCATATTTAATTAGCATAAAATTCAAAAATTCAAAATATTGCATATCTAACGTAGGAAATCAGATGTAACACATAAAAATTGTAGATCTAACACAAAAAAAAAAAAAAATCAGAACAAGTAACATTTAAAAATTTTGTATTTAACACACTATAGATCCAAAATAAAAACTCTCAATAGCTAACACAATACAGACTCTTAGATCTAATAAAATTCATCACAAATCTAACAAAAAAAAATCACAGATCTAACAAAAAGATCACAAAGATAATAGATCTTACATTATTGGACAAAGAAAAAAAAATAAGCAACTGAATTTTAAAATTAACTTTATGGATGGATGAGAATGAGATTAGAGTTTATGCTCTTTTATTTATATATATATATATATCACAGGTTAGTGGGGAACGGGGGATAAGTATTAGTCCATCCACCCCTCCATCCCCATGCAGATTTATATGAGTATCTATATATACATTTATTATCTAATATATATAATTTATGTTCGACCAAAACGATATAAATTTAAATGAATACTCATTTATTTTTGGGTCAACTGCGATTCCTACGCGCAATATATGGTTGGTAATCATAGATTCAGCAGATGTTTTCAGTGCAAAAATAGGCAATTCATGCATGAATCAGCACAGAAGACACTGTCCCCCATGAGTAAATACAAAAGCCCGTGTTTCCTCAAAAATTACATGTTCTTCAAGTAATCTTAGGACACATGGGTGGACAGATGTCTGTCTAGTGGGACCCACCGACTAAATTAAGGGGAAAAGCTGTTCGCAAAAGCTTCCAGTCCTTGTAACATGGGACTCGCCTTTGGGTGACACATGTTATTTCTGTTTCTTTTTAGGTCTAACCTCCTAACCTTTTGACTCTTGCAATGTTTTGAAGCGGTAAGCAACTTACCTTCCTTCCATGATAGCCATATTGTTTATAATTATAATGTTGATTAGGTGTATGCATTTAAATATCTCAATTCTGATTGTGGAGTATATATATATATATAGGTTCTGTTCTTGTTAGTGTTCCGTATATTTCCTGACTGATTACATAGAAATAGCAGGTGGAGATTAGGTCTTGGGTTTTGTTCTGATTATTTGAAGGTGATTTGTAGGAGAAATGGGTTGGCTCTGATCCCGGGAGGTAATCCGAAAGGCACTCTTGATTTTCTGGGGGCCATTTTTGATTTCTTGTAAGTTCTTATATATGAATTTTATCTCTCTCTCTCTCTCTCTCTCTCTCTCTCTCAATAACTGGGTATTGAACTTTGCATCTTTCTGATTTGATCCATTCCTTTCTTGTTCTTGAATCAGAGGATTGGTTAATGGTTGAAAAAGGAGGTTTGGGGTTGGGTTTCACTGGTTGTTCTAGTCACTTAGTTGATGAATTTTTGGAGCATAGAAGAATTTTAGGGTGAAGATGCTGATTGGTGTTGAAAGAATTCTGTCAAAGTCTTGATCTTTGGATAAATACCCATTTCAGCTGCACTTCTCCTTAGATCCTTCAATTTTAGCTCATTCAATGACCAGTTTGGACTTCACTGGTCATTGAACCCTTGACTTTGATTTGAGATCACTCCAATTGCATACTGAAAGGGAAATTTTGGGTAGGATAGGAGTGGGTTTAAGTTCAAAGCAGAGGTTTCAAACTTATGATTGTTAGGAGGAGAAGGGAGTGAAGGAAGAGACATTCAGCAATAACTAGGCCATGTAGTCTAGGAAATTTGATATATGACGAATCAGTGATAACCAGTCGCATGGAAATCACTGGGCTTGAGCCAATAGCTGAGTCCGCAAGCTTGTTGTCAGACCTCCCTAAAACCAAGCTGCCTTTACTATCTATTGCTAGTGAAAGTAAAAATAACAGCTGTCATGATCCCCACACCGAAGCAAGTAGAGTGACAGTGCCTAAATATGATGAAATCAAGAAAGAAGAATCCAACTTGTTGAAGATGGTGACCGAAAACAGTTGTTTGATTTCGAGTGATACAATCAATCAGGAAGGGGCAGAAGATGTTTTGATATCTTTGGGTGGTGGTCCATCAGTACAGAATGTTTGTTCAGAACCTGTGGCAAGTGATGTTAGCAGCATCCGTGGTGAGGAATATATGGCTTTAGAGACTAATTCTGAGGCGTATTCATCACATACCATGGATATTGATCAGAATATAGGTATTCTTCAAACCATTGATAAGTTCTGTTCATGGGAATCAAAAATTGAGTCAGACATCATACAAAATCTTATTGTCATGGTAGTCAATAATGATACTATGGCTATCGAAGAATCTAAGCAAAAATTGTCTCTCTCACATCCCAAGGTGTCACAGCAAAATAATGTAAGAGAGCAAAATTTGTTCGGGTTGGATTCTATACCTCTTTGGGGTTTTACATCCATCTGTGGTAGGCGGTCAGAGATGGAAGATGCTGTTGTAGCTCTACCATGGTTCTTGAGATTTCCTAATCAAATGTTAATGGATGACCTGATTCCAGATTCAACGAGTCAAAATTTAATAGCTCATTTTTTTGGAGTTTACGATGGACATGGAGGCTCTCAGGTAAATTTTGTCACTTATTGTTTCTTTTTTCCTCTCGTTTTTTCATCTTATTGTTTTCTTTCTTTCTTTTTTTTGGTCTGTTTATTGTTTTCTTTCCAAAAAGGTTTTTATGGTATTGTTAGCTATTGCTTGTATTTTCTAAGAGCAATGCTATTGAGACCTAATTTACTGATATAATGTGCTGACCTAATTCACTGTGACATTTGAATTCACTTTAGATTTATCAAACATTGAAACTTGGTGTTGATCCAATGATTCCTATGAAACCACATCATTATGTCAACAAATTATGTCAGATTTTTAGATTCAAATAGTATTACTCATTTCTAATGAGTTTATATAATGACTGGGTTTGCTTGGTACAGGTTGCCGATTATTGCTGTGACCGTGTTCATTTAGTTTTAGCTGAGGAGATTGAACTTGCAATAGAGGAATTGCAGAATGGAAGTGTTAGATATAACTGGAAGGAGCATTGGGAGAAAGCTTTCAATAATTGTTTTCATAAAGTAGACGATGAGGTTGGAGGAGTCCAAAGAGGCAATGGAGGCCTTGCAGATGCCTTTGCGCCCAGTCTTAAACCTGTTGCTTCCGGCGCTGTTGGGTCTACAGCTGTGGTTGCTGTTGTTTTTCCAAGCCACATCATTGTTGCTAATTGTGGTGATTCAAGGGCAGTCCTTTGTCGTGGAAAATTGCCGATGCCTTTGTCTAATGACCATAATGTAGGGATTGTTACCATAACTATTGCTACTAAAGGATTCTTCCTTTTTTTTTTTTTAATTTGTTTTACTAGTGTTTTTTATCTGATCTATTGTGCAATTATAGAAATGAAACTTGCATTGTCGATGTTGATCCCTTTGACCTTTACTTTGTTTTCAGCCAGACAGAGAAGATGAACTTGCAAGGATAGAAGCTGCAGGAGGCAAGATCATTAATTGGGACGGATTCCGTGTTTCAGGTGTACTTGCAATGTCAAGGTCCATTGGTATGTCTATCTTCACCTCTTGATACCCACATAATATCTTACAGTATATGTGGCAGAGTGTCCTTGTTTGATACTTGGATTTTTTGCGGAGTTGTGGTAAGATGATACATGCCTTATGTTACAATGGTGTTCGAGTGTATCAATGGGAAAACTCTGCATTACAGTGCGTGCTATTTGAATTTCATGTCTAGAGGTCAATCTAGGATAGCCCAATAAGAACGCTGACAAGAATAGCGGTAGTTATGAGTCATTTATATATAGGTGTATTTGGATGTGTGTGCATGCTTGCACATTAAAACTGCACTTGCATTTATGAGTTTCCAAACACAAATTGATGTGTTAAGAAACAAGCAAGTAAAATTGGAGAAGAGTATTGTGGGTGTGACTATGTACAAATCCATCTACGATGGCCAGGTGGGGAGTTTGAAGGAGTAGCTGGCGCAAGGTTGAACACTTCGTGGGAAAAAAAAAAAGGGAAGACTATGTACAAATCCCAAATTTGTTGAGCTCCTTTTTCTATAGTCCTCCCCACTCGGTACACTACTGAGCTGAAGGAAAGATTGCTCTGCCACATTTAGGCCAGTCAATAAATCGGATTTTGATTTGAATCCGTTTAACTAGATATGGATTAATATTTTTTTACCGTTAATCTGAACCCGAATCTGATATATTTAACGTATTCAGATTTGGATATACCTTTATTCGAAGTGATTATGATCTGATCCAAATTATTTATATATTTTTATATAAATATTTTAAAAAAATTAGTTGAAATTTAGGTATAATTTGTTAAAAATTAGTTAATTAAATTATTTGAATCGAATTGAATTTTTAACTGATTTAGATATGTACTACGAAAATAAAATTCGTCGGATTATCGGATCGGATTTTTTTTAATCGAATTCAGATTTAGATCATTCAGAACCTGATCCAAACCCTATATATCGACAGGCCTAGCCACATTGATCTAGATTTATGGATTGTCTGCACCTAAAGATGTTCTATCTTGACATAAATTTATTCCCGTGTGGACTGTAGGTGATAGATACTTGAGACCATATGTTATTCCAGATCCAGAAATAATATTTGTTCCCCGAACAAAAGAAGACGAGTGTCTTATTCTAGCCAGCGACGGTCTATGGGATGTTGTAAAAAACGAGGAGGCTTGTGATATGGCACGGAGGCGAATCCTCCTCTGGCACAAAAAGAATGGGGATACCATGTCGAAAGAACGAGGTGAGGGAGCTGACCCTGCTGCTCAAGATGCAGCAGAGTACCTGTCGAGACTTGCTCTCCAAAGGGGAAGCAGAGACAATATCTCTGTGATTGTAGTGGACCTAAAAGCTCAAAGGAAATTTAAGAAGAAAAGTTAAACTCATTGATTTCTCTCCTCCATTTGTTCTTGTTGGAGATAGCCGTGTAAAAAATAGATTTGAAACGCAGGAGTATTGATTATAAGTTGTCACCCAACTCCCTACTTTTCACAATGTAAATATGGGTCTTATTGTGGTATGAGTCGCTGGGTCTAGTACTGGGTTTTCATTACTTGCTGCATTCTGGTCTGAGTGAGATTCTACCAGCCAATTTTGCTCCCCCCTGCATTACTAACCAATTGGAAAATTCTCTAATTATCTTTGAATGTCTAAAGACATTGGCAAATTCAATTTATGTTGAATTTTAAAAACGAATAGGAGTTTTGTCATTGTAAATTCATACAAAACAATCAACGAATTTCGACAAAATAGAAGATCTACGTGAGAATTGGTTCAAAATAAGATCTTTATTCTTCTTCATTCTCAAAAGGTATTCATCAACAAAACTACTCTTTCATATAGATTATCGTGGCATGAACTCATTTCTGCCTTTCCCCACCTCCTGCCTGAAATCTAAAGAAAAGGTGAATCTCTAGATCTAGTTTCCTCTCATATTTTTTCCTCAATTTTCATCATTGGTATATTAGTGAGGGATTTACTTGCATACAATGGATCCTACTCAACTTTACGATAAGTGATTTACAAGGGAAAGAAAAGGAAAGAATATTGGGGATCTCCCTCCTTTAAAGAGTTAGAAATGTACGATAATCACTGGACACGTGGAATGCATAAATCCACCAGAATATTGCTGAATATACTCACAACTATGAAGGAAGGACAAATATCCAACGTCCTCCGATTGCAAAACACCATGAGGTCTGGTGTTTCTTAGGTGGCCTTATGCACACCATTACTCGAGCCCATGACAGAATTCAACCACAAGCATGGCTTTTCGTAAAATACCAGAAGATCCAGCACTAACCTAAGAGGAGCATACTGTTCACAGTATCAATAGACAACTAAATACATTAACAGACCCTAAAATACCGTCAACATTTTCAATTTCCGGAAGCATAATCAGAACCAAAAGCAACATGGTTAACATGGTAACACCAAACTCATTGCGATCTTACATTAAAAAGGGGGAAAGGAACAAAATTTAGATGGGCAAATTGAAAATTAGCTGTCACTCTCATATGTCATAGTTAGAGAAAGTTGACATATTCATAAAAAATGGACGGTAAATACAAAACGTGATATCATTCAATTTATTTCTTGAATAGTAATACCCGGTCTCCAAATCTTCCAGCGTAGTATATCGTCCCATTCCCGTCACTCGACAAGGGCTAGAGAAGTGTTATATTCAGTTTTCACCGCTAGAAATGCTACACAATGCTTTTGCAATTGGATTCCTTAGTTCCAAAGAGAGCTTTATGCTCTTTTTTGGCTGGTATAACACTTAAGCGAAGCAAAAATGTCAGGGCGCCCATCATAGTTCTAGCAGCAGTACATCACTTCTAGCACTAGCTGACTCCTAACCTAAGCAAAAAAAAAAAGGAGTTTCAGACCACAAATAAAAGCAAAACTATATGAAGATGATGATGAAGGTGATAAAAATTTTAAAAATCAGAAAGGTAGGATATATCCAAACACAACGCATATGCAGTCCACTTCACACATAGGGTGCAGAAGAAAGCAAAATCATGTGTCCTACAGATTCAGTCATACCATGCCGTCTGTGAAGCATTAAATTTTACTTCCATACTGAACCTCACTTTACACTCTAGCTGGCTGTCCCAGTTGTGGTCCAAGACCCGGTTAGGGCATGGATGGCTGTGCACAGCTTACCGTGGGAAATAGGAATAAAAAATATGCTAAGAGTTCAAACTTTGGAGTCTAGGCTCCACTATGTTTGGTAAACCCTTGAAAAGGGGAAGTCCTATATTAAGGCTTTTAAGAAAGGAAATGAATTCAATAATAAAGGGGGAGGCAAAAGGGGAAGAGAATGAATCCTTGCTTCGAACATACCGAACAAGTTTTATAATGTTGCAAGTGGAGATCCTGCATCTGTGAAGTAAGATGCCAGATCAATATCAAGGTCATCGAACATACTGATAAAAGGATGTGCCTGTATTTCATTTGGAAAACAGTCATTTAGTCAGCATAAATCTTAACTGATTCATAAAAACAAGGATAGTATATGTACCATTAGTTCGTTTGCAGACCATCTGTCCTTTGAGTCTTTCTGCACACTGAAATAGACATGAGAAGTTCATAAGACAAACAGATGGAAGGCATTAAATGTAACCACTACTGTTTTAGTTACAAAAATATTTTTGACCAACATTGTTGTCATTTCAACTTAAGACACATATGGTGGCAGAAAAAAGGGCAAATTCTAACTGCCTTAATAATTTAGATTCAACATTTAACTCCTCACAAAGAGATGGCAAAATCGAAATTAACTACGTACAAGTTCTCATGATTTCGTAACGTATTCCCACTGAATATAGTGGAGTGAGGTTAATATATCTTATGAGGTAAAGAGAACGAAGTTACTGCAACAATGTCTAGTTCATCCAAAACCAATGGTACTAAAATACAAATCTGAGATCTTTACCAAGCAGAGATAAATGAACAGAACTCTGACGAAAATTGATCCGAAGGTGCACAAGGCGGTGGTTGGTCAACAATGGTTTCCATAAGCTCATACACATTAGTCCATCCTTCCTGCTGAGGAGGGGAATATGGAAAATGACCAGTCGCACACTCTAGCAGAACTAACCCCAAGCTCCAAATGTCACTTCTGTAGCCATATTGCCTTCCACTGATTCTCTCTGGCTACAGCACACCATTGAACAAAAGCAACTTGTAAGAAACAAATGCAGGCATAATGCGATGCACTCTAAATCACCCGATCAACGAGGAGAAAACTCATATAAAATATGAATTTAAATTCTACTTTTGTGCATATAACATATATGCATAAATTACTCACAGACATATAGTTGTATGTCCCCACAAAAGTGTTAGCCTGTCCAGAGGTACTCTCCATTATTGCACTTACACCAAAATCAGTGATTTTGACTTCCCCTCTGTGATTTATCAATAAATTAGAAGGTTTTAAGTCCCTGTGAATGATATGTTTTTCATGATGAAGGTACCACATCCCCTTGAGCACCTGAATTAAAAAGAAAAGAACAAAGAAACAAAAAAGGAACCATGTGAAGTATGTTAATGCTAATGAATACTATATATTTCCTTTGGCCAAAAATGTGGAATGAATACTTCCCACCTGCTTACAGATGGCAGCAAGACAAGGTTCTGGAATTGTTTTGACATGTTTCAAGAAATCTGCTAGAGAACCCCCATCCATGTACTCCAAGATTATAGAAATGGCACCATTCTCATAGAAGGACTGGTAACACACAACAACATTTTGACATTGTGCTGACTGATTAATTTTGAGCTCTTGAGCAATCAGCCTGCGGGCAGATTCATCGATATTCATTTGAATAACCTGAATGTTGGAGATTATATCAGGACAAACTCTCCAAAGCAATAACACATAGTGAAGAGGACAAAGATGTAAATGACAGTATGTGCGCATATGGGTGATATAATGGTATATTGTTGCTAAGAAGAATTTATAAAGCAAGATGAGTTAGCTTTCAAGCCAGTCTAAAAGATGGTGGACTAGCCAGGCCATAACGCAAACATTAAGAATTCTGAGTTTAACATGGGTTGACCATTAATCAACTTTATAGACAACGTAAATTGTGAAGGAAAAAAGTGGCCGTATTATCACCTACATAAAGGCCTAACAGAGATAAACAAAATATAGCGGGGTTAAACTAGAGATTCAATTTCATTGATCAAGTTTGATTTTCATGCTTTCCCAGCCAACATCATTCACTAGAGACCCTTTCTATAAACACATGACCAACACTAACATAAAATTGTGGGTTCCTTTATCATTTGAGTGAAACCAGGAAAGTCAAACATGATAGAGGCGACCCCATCCTACTCCTACGTGGCAGCTTGTACAATTTGAATGAAAGGATGCAGTGGGTCTGACCCATGGCTCACACCAATCCCTCTAGAGATGAGGGGCAAAAAGTATTGTATAACAGAGTTGCAATCATAATATAGGATACTGAAATTTGAATGCTGTGCAAATGATCGTAAAAGGACAACGAGATTAGGATGGAAGTGCAGAACCACAAATCAACGTTTTAAGGAAGGTCATGACCAAAAGAAAGACTTCATCATTGTTTTTTTTTTCCCTTTTTGGCAGTAATGCAGGATCTTTGTTGGGACTGTATACTACCTTCAAAGCGAAGAATTGCCCAGTCCATTTGTGTTGCACCAACCGAACAATTCCACCATTCCCCTTTCCAATGACTTTAACTGCATCAAAGTCAGCTAAGCTCAGCTGACTGTCTGTAGGCTGTATAAGGGATGGCTGAAAAAACAAAGAATGATTACAAAACAAATAAGACCTTTCATAGTTGAATATGCTCAGCACGAAAAGGAATTGCATCCTAATTTAGCAAGATAAGCTACTTAAGATACTAGTTCAATGCCAGTAGGGATAGTAATTTTTTTTCAGCATTGTACTGATCCAACCTTACTCCATGATAGCAACTAATTTGTTAAAATGGAAGTAAAGCTGAATTATCTCAATGAAATTTTCTCCCCACTGTCATTTGCTGCTTCAGGAACCTTTCTGGGAAAGGCCAGCACGCTGCTACTCTCACCTGCAGATCTGTGTTTCCTTATGCACATAAACACCATTATGCAATAAACTAGTGCATCAACAATGCACATAGTAGATATATGTAGGTGCAGAAATCAGACATTTTATATTGAAAAACAGAAACAACTTTTTCAGTGTCGAATCACTCCAAATTTCAACATGTAACAGATACGAAAACAGCATTATCTGTGATTAAATGAATTTAGTGTATTATGTATTCACTATATACTGCATGCTTTATATTCTAAATCAAGTCAGTCCGCTAAACTCTTTAAGCTCAATGCAGACAGAGAAACAAACAAATTACATTTCTCGCATCAAGTGAAGTTACTTGACAGAATTACCAAAATCACAAATATATTCATTCAAAGAAATCGTCAATTCAGCTTTAAGCAAGTCAAATCACCGAACAAATAGCCAATTTCCACATTGTGAAACTGGAACTCAAAAACAATCATATGAAGGACAAGAAAAAAAATCACAGGCTGATAGTCGAGCAATTCCAGATCAAACGCAAGAAACACTGATCATTTCAGTTCAATTTATCTTTCAAATATGCCTTACAGTTTCAACTTCGTTGTGAGATACAATTCGAACTCCGTCTCTGCTGACCAGTAGATCACCATCCATAAACGTCCCTGATTCGGTTCTACAAAATTCGACCAAGAGAAATTAGAGAGAGAGAGAGAGAGGGAGCAAGGGCGAGAGAGACAAAGAGAGCACTGTTTACAGGAATTTAGAGAAAGAAACTTCATCGGGAGGGAGAGAGAGCTTGAGTTTAGGTTCTAAGTCCCCCTTCTTCATATCCAATTGCTTGTGTGTGTGTGTGTGTGTATTGCTTGTGTTCTCCTTCTCTATTGTCAGTCTGGTGAAAGAGTCGTTTCAAAGTCTTTCACAAAAAAACTGAAATTCTTAGGTTTCGCAATCTGCACTTAATTATATAAGCTTAAATGCAATCTCTCTCTCTCTCTCTCTCTCTCTCTTGTATATACTAACGGTCATAATCCAAGGTACCATGAACTCCTTAAAAATCGATTTATTATATTAAATTTTTTTAGTATTTATATATTATCATATATAAATAATATTTAAAATAAAAATTATATTAACTATAAATTAATTAAATATTAAATAAATGATAAAAATGAGTAATATGATATTTTAAGAAAAAATATATTAGAGATAAAAATTCAAGTTATTATTTATTTTATTATATAAAATAAAATAACTTACAATTCAAATCTTAAAAAATAAACAAAATGACTTTTACTATTCGCGATTGAGATCACTTTAAATTTTATTTTAAAATTAATATAACGGCTAATATTAACACCCTAAATTTAATCGAAAAAATAGGGTCCTAAGAATGTGTTTAAAGTGATTTTTTAAAAATATTTTTAGAAATTATTTCTCATAAATATTTTTTACCACTATCACTACCAGCACCATCGACATTGTCATTGCCGCCAGCCATCACTACCACGACCACCACCATTGTCATCTTTTCGGCCACTACCACTCCCATCGTCGTCCACACCACCGTCGCCACCACCTTCTATCGCCGCCGTCACCACCATCATCTCTCACTGGCACTATAAATCGATGTTTAAATTTTTTTATCTCTTTTTTATATTTATAATTTAATTTTGAATATGAATACAAATATATTTATTGTTTAATAATTTTATTCTTTTGTCCGCTCGCTCGTTAACGAGAGAGAAATAAATAGTACATATATAATACTATAATTAATATAATATATTACACGTCCGTACTAGGTAAATATGAAATCGGTGAGACGACAGCATTTTGTTGGCCCCCCCGGGGGGGTTAGGTTAAGAGAGAAAGCAGTCAACATTGACAAGCGGAAGATATGCAGATATACACCCGCCCCCGCCCCCGCCCCCGCCATTTTTCTTCCCCACCAAACTTTTATTAGTCAACAAATAGTTAACAGAACACTATTATCTCCTTTAATAAACAAGTTTTAAATGAAATATTAATTTGCTATTGGTACAAAACTAAACAGTCTATTGCGGTAAGATTTTTCACTTATTTATAATTAAGGATCCACTTCCCTTTAAAAATTAAAATTTTTTGTGCTAGTTACGATTTTGATTCGTGATACACCACAGTAAATATTGCACGAGAGAGGGTTAATTGCATTCAGACCCACGAAGAAACAAACATTCTATAACGAATTTAGTTTTGAAGTGGGCCTACACACTAGTAGGAGACGAGGTCTAGCCCATACCCATAGATATGTTCCACATCTAAAAATACATCTCATTTAAGCTGTTGTAATTATTGAATTGAGTCACCTTGTGCTCAAGCATATCAGTGAGTTGATTTTCATCTTCTGTGAAGTCAGTTTCCCTGAGACTCTTCAGAACATGTTTTCTCAGTTTCTTCAACTTCATAACACCATCTGAATTCTGTCCCACATTGTGACATTCGTAAGAAATGTGTCAAATAAAATTAGGTGAATAGACAACAGTGAGAAGCACTGAAATGTTCCTGATTGCTACATTCTTGAACAAGAGAAGGCCAGTTTATAATAGCCCCATCAACTGAAATCAAAGTCACGGAAACAATCCCTCTGCACATGAGGGTAAAACATACCGAATACATGTGACTCTCTCATCCACTGAACTGCTCTTTGTTTAAAGAAATGAAAGTGGACCATCTTTTCAAGCAAATTGTATACACTAAATTCATAAGAAATATTTTGTATATTATCAATATGCACTAAATTTTCACTTCCAGATCAATTAAACAAGAGTTTTAGAGGTGCCACAAGGAAACATACAGATTTCAGGATGCAAGTGATCAGCTTCTTCCACTTAATTTTTTTCTTGCCATCGTTGGGAGAGCTAGAATCCACGACCTTATCTTCTTTGGCCACACTATGTTTGGCTTTCTTCACCTGGCACTTGGTTTTCTCTGGTTCAACTCTTTCAACCTGAATCACTTCACCGCTGTCTAGTTCACCAGATGCGTCACCTCCAGTCTTTTGCCTAGCACCATCATTTTCAGATGCTTTTAATTTTCTCTTCTTACACAATGGAGAACTCCTCTTTTCTTCCTCGGTGCTGTCATGCGCACAGACAACTTTAGACAGATGATGCTCCTTTAGTTCGTCTACACCTTTACTTGCAAGGGTTTCATCCTCTGTATCGTCTGTAGGTGAAACTTTGGCATTTGGAGAGGATCCTTCGGTCTGCTTAGGTTGTTGCTTAGCATGGAATGCCCTTGCTTTTGTTCTGTGCTTCTTTCCTTCAGCATGGAGAAGCAGGGTTTGCTGACTAGTAGCCTTGGTATTACAAAGGCTGCATATACAAGGGTTGCCCAATAGACCAACTTAGAAAGTAGTAACAAGAAATGAAAAAGAAAAAGAAACCTAAATGCCCTAAAACAAAACAAAGTAAAATAAGTGATTCATGCTGTAAAAGCCATTGCTTGGTGCAGTGCTAAAAGCTTGGATAGTCAAATTTAAAATGTTGATGTAAGCCAGAGGGCAGCCTCTTCCGCGAGTAATGTTAGAGGCTATGTACTATCCCTAATTCTACAACCAAAAGATGCAGGCATAGCCTAATTCTTTTCAATGCACCTGAAATGTGATAAGCCAAAACTTCATCAAGTCTATTGTTGCTGATCAGCCGAATCTGGAGATAAAATAATGGACTCTGTAAATTCATGGGCAAGAGGTTGGTGGAATGTAAAATGCCCACTAGATTAGTAGAAGCTTAGAGTCATTCATTATCAGAGATTTCACTGAATACTTCAGCAAAGAGCCCCTCACATACTTTTATCTAGGCTACTTTGCTTTGTGGGGGGAGGGGGTAGGCATAAAGTGTAAATGTTTCTGGGCAAACTTGCAATCGAATGAAGCTCAATGTTGAATGCAATAGAATGGATATGGCACTTCCACTGTTTGAACATACCTACAAAACCATGGAGGATGTTCAGACAATCCCACATTTATATCAACATCGGGTTTCTGCTTCAAATCACTATTGGGCTTAGCAGTTGCTCCGTTAGAACCTTTTCCTTGGCCTTTTGGACCATACTTTTCCTGAAAATTTACAATGATCAAATTCCTTCAAGTAAAGTGCAAAAAATTATATATATAATTTTTATCCGGAAGTTTCATCCACAAGCAAATGAACACACTCCCCCCCTAAGGGGTTGGCTCAATGGCACGTTCTCCATTTCAAAAGAGAAGGCCACACGATTAAACCTTGCAGGGTGGATCTATCCCGACGATTACATGGTACATGTGTTCTGAGAGGCCCGGATACCTTTTAGTTAAACAAAAACAAAGAAACAAATGATTACACTCCTGAAAGTCTGAAACAAAGTACACAATTGCGCTCATATTAGCTATGGCACAGTTAAGAGAAAGTTATGGATTGGAAAATGTACATAAATAGCTTACCGTCTTGAACATTTTCATAAGATTTGGAATAAATACACCCCTCAAAAGCGAATAATCTAATAGCAAAAATAGCACACAAATACACACAGAGAAACTATTTTTTCCTTGTTGGCTAAATACACATATTTACGCACTCAAATTTTCAAAATTCAGGAAAAATTTGTGCGAAAGATACCGCTTCTGTGATGCACTGAGTGTGCCCTTCAACGCTTTGCTGCCCAAATACTTGTCCGCAATCAATGCAGGACAACTGCGCAAAAAATGAACAAAACCAATGAAAAAATTTCACGAAACCAGTCCATTAGCATCGACATTTAAAGAAGATTCTATTTTTAAGGGGAAAAAAAGAAGAAGAGAAAAGCATAGAGTTGGATTGGACCTTGGTTGCAGAGCAAATCCTGAAGTGAGCGGGCAGCTTCGGCTTCTTCAGGTTGTCTCCACAGTCCTCGCACTGAAACCACACCATCTCCTGTCTCTCTCTCTCTCTCTCTCTCTCTAAGAATATATGCGTGCGTGCGTGCGTGCGTGCTGGGGCGAGCTCTGCAAGTAGGGGAAGGAATGAGTATAACAGTTGTTTTAGGGTTAGGCTACAGGCCTACGGCCATGTGCAATTTTTTCGGTGTTATTTATATTTTTTTTTTGTGTTACTTTTTTTTTGTCAGGTTTTTTTTATAATTGGTTCGGTGCTATTTGGTAAAGGTGGGTCTCGTTTAATTACTCATTATTAAACTATTAAATTTATCTCTTTTATATCAACTCTATTAATAATTAAATCCATCGCATACTATATATACCATATTAATAGTTAAATTCACTCATTCTATATACACCCTTTTAGTAAAAGAAATCATTGTAAAAAAAAAATAATTAGTTTGAATGTATAAATATATTAACGAAACAAGAAAACACAAAAAAATAAGCAAAAAAAAAATCAAAATCGAAACAAGAAAAAAAAAATCAAAAACGAAACAAGTAAAAAAAAATAAAGAAACAAACTAAAACAAGAAAAAAAACGAAATAAGCAAAAATCATAAATAAATTAGCAAAAATCGAAACAAGAAAAAAAAAACTAAAGATTAAAAAAACAAGCAAAACTATAAAATGCAACATCAACACCACAAAACATGAATATGAAAAAAAAAAAGTATCAAGCACAAACATGAAATCAAACAAGAAAAATAAATAAACAACATAGAAGCAAAAGGTAAACGAGATAAGAAAAACACTGAAAGCATTCATATATATACACATATTTAAATTGTAAATAAAAAATTATTAAACTTGACAAGTATATGTCAAAATATACAAAAAATAATAAAAATTCATATAACAAACATGAAATAAAATATAAAATTAAATTAAAAAACAATATTAATATGTATCTTACTGAAAAAACTTCTATTGAAAAAGTATTTTTAGAAGTGCATGAGATGAGATAGAGAATGAAACTCTAATTATGACAAAATATAAAACAAGTTTACTTATTAAATAAGGTGTATTCAGCATAGAGTAAACTTAGTTCCTAATAGGGTCAGTATAAAAGGAGTGAACTTAATAATTTAATAATGAGAAATGAATCGGAGGTGGGAATGAAAATTTGTGGCATGAGAATAACCCCACCCTATTGGTAATATAAAGTTTAGTGACAATCCTATTTTGTCTTGTATTATTTTGAATATACATTGAATATTAAATAAAATTGATCTATTTTATGTTATTAATTGTGTCAAATGTCTTAACATTTATCCCAACTGTGTTATAACTCGTAATGTATTCGGAACGATGCATCTAACTTGTGAATTAAAAAATTAACTACGATTTTTTTTCTCAATTAAATCTACCAGTTATAAATTTTTATAGAGTAAAAACCCTTACAATACATATGATATTAAAAGCAAGTAAAAAAAATCCAATCTTATAACGAATTTAACATTATAATTTTAAGAAATAAAAAATAAACTTTTCTTTAAATAATATCAATTAAACAAATTTATTGTATCAAAATTAGATAAATATATGTAGTTAAACATTCCTATGAAAGTTGGATAATATATATATATACTAGTCATTGTCCGTGCCTAAATGCACTATATTACTTATAAAATTTTAACACACAAATATAGGATGTTTGAATAATTTAAACACATAGCGATTAGATTAGTTTTGAACATTTTTTTGGTGCAATTGGTATCTTAATTTTTTTTTATTGGTCACTTATTTTTTTTTAATTGCTAATTAACTTGGGTTTTGAATTTTTTTTTAATTTTCTTATAACTATAAGTTTTCATACACTAGTGGATTTATTTTTTATATGAATAATAACTTGATAATTTTATTTATGGATTATAAATACAATTTAAACTTCATTAAGTGATAAAAAGTAAAAAGTAAACATCAACCATCGGTACTAAGATTCGTGACAAGAAGATCTACTTATAGTGTATTATAGGTATGAATCAGTTTGTAATAAGAATGATGAAAAATTATATAGTAAGTATATAATAATTTTTAATGAAATATTATTGAAAAAAATCGATATACTAAATAACTTACATGTTCAAAAATTGTGACATTGTCCATTTAGGTACTGTTTTTGTGTTGTAGTGACGATGTGTATATATTAGGGTCAAATGTTAAACTGTCAAATTTGAAAAAGAAACACTAAAGTTAGAAATATTATGTATTTTATGTGTATTTAATAAAAATATTTTTAATTTTATACAAAGTTTAATCATAAAATTAGAAATTAAACAAAATCAACCTAAATCAACGTATAAGCAATACACTTTTAACATATAATATTTAGATCATTTAATTTAAAATGAATTCAATCTAAATTGTTATTATTTGTTTTCAAATTTAAGATAGAGACGTATGAGAGATAGGAGTGTGGAGTCTTACGATAAAAAGACTTTTTCATAGGCAGGAAAAAAAATTCAAGACTAATTATAGATCGTTAGATCAAATTTTTGAGATGATCTGACTCGCTTTTTATGTTGGAATTACGTTTTTCGTTGAATGCGTTTTTATTTTGTCTCAAAGCAATCTGGACTTCTCTTTTATCTTTATAATTCAAATTTCGTTCTACTTTATTATATAGATATACTAGTTATTTTTTGTACTCGAAGGCAACTAGTAATAAAAAAAAATGATCAACAATAAACATATTTATATTTATATCCAAAATTAAATTATAAAGATAGAAAAAGATACAAAAATTTAAGAATCCAGTTGTAGTTGAGGCGAACGATGATAATGAAAGATGGTAATGGGTGACAACGATGAGTTGTGATGGTGGCAACCGTGGGGGGGCAATGGTGATGGTGGGACAGTGGTGATGGTAGTTGTAGGTGGTGATAGCGATGATGGTGGTAATGGTGGTGGGGGTGCTAAGGGTAATAGGAATGGTAGTATGGGTAATGGGCGTGGTAGTAATGGTAGAGGTGTGATAATGGTAGTAGGGTAGCAGTGGCGGCGATGATAATGGTGGTGGGGTGACAATGGTGGTGGTAGTGGCAGCGGTGATGGTGGTGGGGCGGAGGGGGTTAGTAGGAGTAGTGGAGTAGTATCAAACAATTTTTTTTTAAATACTTATGAGAAATTATAAGTTTCAAAACACTTTTAAAAAATTACTCTAAATACACCTTTAGAGGTCTATTTTTTTTATTAAATTTGAGGATGTTAATATTAACCGTCAGATTAATTTTAAAGTAAAATTTAAAGAGATCTCAACCGCGAAAAGTAAAAATTATTTTGTTTATTTTTGATATTTGAATTGTATTGTACTTTATTTTATATATATATATATATATATATATATATATATATATTTTGTTCTCTTGATATTATATTGTATAAATCCTTATACAATAACATAGTTAAATATGTTTAGTAGGCCGAAATAGAGTTATTTGCTAATTTTATTCATTTATTATTAAGTTAAGGAATCGTGTCATTTTTTAATTTTTGTTAATAACTAATCAACCTGAATAACTAATTTCGTGTTTTTTGTTAAAAGGCATAAATTTAATAGGGTTTGATATCATTATTAAAATATCAGGGGGCTTTTGTATAATTATTTAAGGACCGCCCAGCAACAACAGCAGAACCTGACCAGTCAAGTAAGCTTCGATTCCCGTCTCTCTCTTCACTCCTAGGGTTTTACTGTAACAACCAAACCAAGTCAGAACCCAAAATCAAATTGAAGCCATGAAGCTCACATGGCTCAGTTCAGTGGAAAATGCCCACGATGACTCGGTGTGGGCTTGCACGTGGGTCCCAGCCACTGACGACCGGCAAGGCCTACTCCTCACCGGCTCGCTCGATGAGACCGTAAGGCTCTGGCGACACAACGATGGCCTCGCACGTGTCAATACCTTGACCGGCCATTGTCTCGGAGTCGTCTCAGTCGCCGCTCACCCTTCTGGTAGAATCGCGGCCTCGGCTTCGATTGACAGCTATGTTCGCGTCTTCACTGTGGATGGAAATGACACAATTGCCACTCTCGATGCTCCTTCCTCTGAAGTCTGGCAATTGCAATTCAATCCCCAGGTAATATTGACATAAAATCTATGAATTTATACATATGGAGGTTAGGTTTTGATTAATTTAATTATCATGTTTTTAGATGTGTTTTGGAATTGTGTCAATATGTTTGGATGACCAGAATTAAGATGGATTGGAACTGTAAAAATGATGTGATAATTTGTGATTAAATTAAGAATATGGCCCTAAATAGAGCCCAGATACAATTTCATGTAACCAATTCCAACTACTTAGGTGAACTGCAAGTCTTTGTTGAGTTGGATTGAGCTGAGCTTAGAATTGGGTAATTTTTGATGATTTGGTGTAGTATTTAGATCTAACTTTGGTTTATCAGGAATTGAGTGTTTTGATTTATCTGTTGTTGTATTATTTTCTGCTAAATGCTGGTTTGTAGACTCAGACACATGTGTTGGGTGAGGGTGTGTGTCTAAGTGCAGGATTTATCTATTCTTCAAATCCAAGGCAGGGATCTGGCTGAATAAACATATTTATGAATGTTTTCATTGATTGCATTGGGTGAAATGGTGGCACGTTGCTCATTTCAATGCAATTATTCATCAAGGAATCCACGAGCGGTTGTTATAAAAATTTGAATAGCTAGATATGCTTGCCCATATACACCTGGTCGGACTCAAGTGTCCCTACACTTATCCTGGTGTTAAGTATTCGCCAAAGTTTCTGGAAGCAATTTGAAGAGTCTAAATATACAAACAGTTCGGACATACATAGATGTGTATTGCAAGCATGCACCCACGTGTTTATTCTATTCAGGTATACATAAATGTGTATTGCAAGCATGCACACACGTGTGTCTAGATGTCTTAACTAGAAATGCAAAAAGATCTCACATTTTTGTTGGATGGTGCCTACACTAAATGCAACAGTAGCATTAATGTGTGAAAGCTTTCAAGTTCAACTAGTGCTAATCCACTTTAGAAAATATTGTAATTAGTTTATTGTCTTTATTGTCTGATTTTTCTTAGTATGCCTATAACTCTATTTCAAGTGCCAATCCATTGGAAATCTGGTAGTAATCTATTGTCTTAGGTCTGAATGTTATGCATAACAAGTTGAGCTGTTGCATGGACTTGCTAGGCAAAGATAAAAAATGTAACGATATAGTTAGTGATTTAACATCATTTAGCTAGATTATATTTGTTCAATTCGTACGAAAGTTATACATATGTGCACTTAGTAGGAACATTGGCATGTTAGGGCATAATCTTGCTCATCCTTCATGATTTGTGTCATGGGGGCCAAAACTCATGATATATGTCATTCTTTCTCTGTATAGATTTATGAGTTGATGCCTTAGGTTAATCTTACTTATGGATTTCTGTTCTTTATAATATTGCGTTTCAGCTGCATTTACACATTTAGTTTTGAGAGTGACGTCACAAGCTTTGTCCAACTTAATTTATTAGAACCTTTTAACTAGATTCACTTTTCCATACTCTACTTTCATTCTCTTTAGTTCTAAAACTAGTAATCCCTAAGTTTTATTGTTGCATGCAAGCATGAGTGACAGATATATTTATAAGCTTTGTGGTTGTTACTGCCCGAAGTGCCTCTCTTTCCACATCTTTGTGTTCTGGTTAAAAGCTTGAGGATCACTTCTGTACTCTCCAATAACCAGGCATGGTCCCTACCCAAGTCAAACTTTTGGGTACAGTCCAACAGCTATTCCTTTATTTGCCTCCTATATGATTGCTTGTTTGACCAAGCACGGAAACTTTAAGCTCTTCTATACCGTAATCATCCACACTAGTTTAGATGATATCCCCTGGACCTACTTCTCATTTTGGTTTGTGTTTCCTCTTCAGCATATTTTGATAAGTCAGTACCAATCTTCTTCTTGTTATTGGTTTTGCTCGATTCCCTAGTTTAGGTTCCAGGATTCCTAAACCTGCCTTAGTGTACTGTTATATGGATGCATATAATGGGAATACTATAGTGCTAGTTAAACTATCAAACTCTGATATGGAGGTAACTGCAGAAATGTTTTTGGAAGTATTGCAGGTGGGCTGCTGTTACCCTGGTATGTATCATTCCCCCCCACCAAAAAAAAACAAAAAACAAAACACACGCACAAAAAAAAAAACACATTACAAAGGATTTTAAAGTAAAGTGCAACATTTTTGTTTACAATATACCCACTTCAATTTCAATGGGGAATAAGATCAGAAAAAAACTTCCATAGGGAATGATGCAAGTTCAACTCAACTAAAAATTTCATTTTTAACCTGAAATCTGTATTTTGTCTTTCAAAGCTGAATGCATAGTTCTTGTCTCTGTCTCTTTCTGTTAGTTACTAAGCACCAGGTCGGAATTTGGAGCTTTAAGTTCTAATTTATTTGGGTTTTGATTGCTTTGATACACAAAACCATGCATTTCTCGGGTGAATGGATGCCAGACAACTCCTTGGAGATGGTTGGCCCAAAGCCCCAAATAGATTTCTCTCATATGTTGTTAGAGTTGTGTCTTCAAAAGCTTGTATTGGATCAGCCAGTAATTGTTTCTTGCTCAGGGCACAACTCTAGCAGTTGCTGGAGGGAGCAGCGCATCAGTCAAGTTATGGGATACTGCAGAATGGAAACTGAATGCCACCCTATCGATTCCCCGTCCTGAAGGAATAAAGCCCTCAGATAAAAGTGGCAACAAGAAGTTTGTCCTCTCAGTAGCATGGAGCCCTGATGGGAGACATCTGGCTTGTGGCTCAATGGATGGCACCATCTCTGTCTTTGATGTAGCACGTGCCAAATTCCTACACCACCTGGAAGGCCACAACATGCCTGTGCGCTCCCTTGTGTATTCGACTGCACCTCTTGATAAAAGGGTACTCTTTTCCGCCTCTGATGATGGCCAAGTGCACATATATGACTCAGAGGGTAAGACGTTGATTGCGTCTCTGTCGGGTCATGCAAGTTGGGTTTTGAGCGTGGATGCGAGCCCAGATGGTGCAGCAATTGCAACGGGCTCCAGTGACAGGACTGTGAGACTCTGGGATCTTAAAATGAGGGCAGCTACACAAATACTGACCAACCATACAGACCAGGTTTGGGGAGTGGCATTTCAACCACCAGGAGGGACTGGTGTGCGAAATCACCTACTCGCAAGTGTATCTGATGACAAGGGCATATCACTCTATAGCTACTCCTGAAGGTATGTATGTAGCTTGTTTCCAGTGGTTGGGAGGACATTGATGATTAGTTCTCAATTCAGATGTGTTGCTTCTTGTGGTACTGTTCATGGGTATTGTATCGAAAATACTTTGGGGCTTTATAGCGAATACCGCATACTTATGTTTAGTTTATGGGTAAGTCCTTTGTACTGATTTGATGCCATACCAAACCAAAATTTACAAGTAATTAGGGCTAGTTATAATTTATTTTAGAGTCAAGTGATGACTAAAAAATGTTTGGTACGATTCTATGCGATTAAGTTATGACTTAAAATGGAATCAATATTAAAATATTGGAATTGATTTCAAACAACTTTATATTGTTGGATTGTTAGACACAAATTAATTTGTTCACACTTTTTTTTTTTTATAATCTTACAAGTGATAACAATTGATTAGGAATGTATAATATTTTATGATTAATATACAATCACGTGACATTGTTATGTTATGGTATTGTACTGATGAGCACTGAAAATCTTCTCATGCACATATATTCAAAACTATTACTAACTCCGAATTTGAAGGGACTCTGTAATACTAAAAATTAAATATTATTTTTACAACATTTGTTTTTTTAGTAATAAATTTTTTTTTCTTTTCTTTTATTTAGTTACACAATTTAAAATTAAAATAAACGAGGAATTATGAAATAAGTACGTGTGAATTAGTGAAATTGTTTGATATTGAAAAGTGTGTTAATTGAGTTGTCTAACGTTAGAGATCTTACATAGAATATGATATTTTTTAACCGAAAAAAATTTAGAATAAATTGTGAACCGTTTGATCAAAGTAGATTAATTTTAACTATTATTGTATTTTTATAAGTTAATGATTTTAATTTTTTAGCAGTAATATTATTAGACTAGTTTATTGTTTGTGCTTGAAGGCACAAAGTAATAAAAAATAGTAAATAATAAATATATTTGTATTCATATTCAAAATCAAATCACAAATATAGAGAAGAGATAAAAGAATTTAAGCATCGATTTGTAGTGGAGGTGAGAGGTGGTGGCGATGATGGTGGTGGAGGTAGGGGGCAGGGGTGGTGGTGATGGTAGTGATAGTGATAGAGATAGTGGTAAGACAATTTCAGACACTATTTTTTTTAAAAAGTATTTATGAAAATATAATTTCTAAAAGTACTTTTAAAAAGTCACTCTAAACATACTCTTATGAGCCTATTTTTTATATTAAATTTATGGTGTTAATATTAGTTGTTAGATTAACTTTAAAATAAAATTTAAAGCAATCTCAACTACAAATAACAAAAGTTATTTTGTTTATCTTTTGAGATTTAAATAGTAAGTTACTTTATTATATAGATAATCTATTTATTGTCTATGCTTGAAGGCACAAAGTAATAAAAAATGGTAAATAATAAACATATTTGTATTCATATTCAAAATCAAATCACAAACATAGAGAAAAAATAAAAGAATTTAAATATCGATTTGTAATGGGGGTGAGAGGTGGTGAGCGGTAATAGTAGTGGTAGGAGACGGTGATAGTTGTGGTGGGTGGCAATGACTGTGGTGGCGGCGAAGACGACAGTGATGGTGGTGGGGGCGACAACGGTGGTGGTGATAGTAGAGGTAATGGTGGGGGTGGTTTTAAACATTAATTTTTTTTTAGGGTGTTAATATTAATCGTTAGATTAATTTTAAAATAATATTTAAAGTGATATTAATCGTAAATAATAAAAATCATTTTATTTATTTTTGAAATTTGAATTATAAGTTTATTTATTAAGACGGTATGAGTGGGTTGTAGTGAAATATCTCTCCCTAAAACATAGCTTATGTGTCTATGCGCCGGCAAATGGTGGGCGGACATCCGATTGTAATAGTCCTTCAAAATTGGGAATCTCAGCTTAAAATTCACTCAGAAGTTAAACGACATTACCCATTTAGAATGATCACGTTATGCATTTGAGGAATTATGGCTTCTAAGTTGGTTATAATTATTAAATTACTGAAGATTAAAATTACATTGTCCAAATCATCACTTGGCTTTTTAAGGTGGACCCAATTGTTAATGGATCCCAGTCTTCCTTAACCATTTTACTCATGCAGGATTAATTGCTGCCAATCACACAACAGAATTGATGCACTTTTATTGCCCATGAATAAAACATAAAATATATTTACCCAAAACATATACATATAAAATTCTAAAATATAACTTTAAAAAATAATATCAAAAACATGAATGCAATTAAGAATCGTGATAATTCACTCCTAACCGGATAAAGGATACAAAAAAAATGTGAGTTTTTTTTTTATTTATTTATTCAACTTTAAAAGTTATTAAGTCAATCTACACACACTTCAACTAATCACTTTTCGGTCTGGTCAAAAATAAATCATCCACGCACGAGACTAGGGTATTTATGAGTGATAACTTGACCCTTAACATTATTAAAATTAAAATTCAAAACATCTAAATTTAAAATTTATTTTTATTACCACTTGAATTATCGTTTGAATTAATACTGTGAGTTCCATACCATCAATTCTCAGGTAAATTTTGAAAATGTTCAGTAACGTTTATTTTCCTTCCATTTAAAACCGGGGGGATTCCGTAATTAAAAGAAAATACAGGCCTAAAGACATGAACACAAAAAACAAGCTTAATTAGTCTTAAACAAGCACTATACTGTCCGTTTTAGACTTGAGAGCCGCTCACCACCTTCTTTATGGAGGACCCTTCGGACCAGACCAGACCAGAGAGAGAGTTTTAGAGAGAGAAACTTGAGAGAGACAAAGAAGCGTAAGCTAATGTAGAGAGCAAAAGACACATAAATAAGCAAAATATATGTAGAGAGAGAAAGAGCCTTAAACTTGCTTTCGTATATAAGCTTCACACCTCATTTCTTAGAGAGAGAAAACAAAAAGGGCCTCTCTTTACGTCTTTACCAGGCTCAAAAAAACCATCATCAGGAAAAAAAAAAAAGGCTTTGTTTTCTGCTATTTATCAACATCTTGGCTGAAATTTCGAAGCTACAAGTCCGTGTTCGCTCCGATCTGACTAGCTGAGTTGGCGGTGTTGTTTGTCTCCTTCTCTTTTATTGATGAGGTGAAGGGAAAGAGATCGAAATTTAGACTCATCAATGGTAAGCTTCAACTACGGACTCGATTATTTGTATTGTTGGTTGGTTGATTTAATTGGCTGGTTGATTTTCTCCAGTCAAATCTGTTCAACTTGGAGTCCATACAAGTGGTTGCTATTTTTAATTGTTTTGTTATCGAAATTTATTGTGTGACAACCGGTATTATGTCTGATTTTATTCATTAATTCACGTATTGAGGTGAACTTGACAGTTACAATTAAAAAAGATAGCAAATAGTTTAGGTTATTTTTTGGGAATTCTAGATTTTGTTGCTGAAATGGTTGAATTTCGTGGAATAAAAGCATTTTTAGGGGTGAGAGTTAGCCAAATTGAATAGTTGCCAATTGCATGCTTAAAAAAAATTATTTTGTAATAATAGTTATCTGTTAAATGCAATATCTAGGGGCTGATTTCCTATTTGTAGTGTTTGTGTGGACTTCATACTACTATAGAAAGCCAAATGGACATTCTTACATTTTTTGGGGCAATTAGTGCACTGATTTCACTTAATAAACTATATGAACATCCAAAATGATGCAACATAATTGAAGGGTGTGCTTGCATGGACAACTCTTTCGTATATTTGTAATTTATTGCTTCAATGGCTTAAAAAGTGGTAACTTCTAGCAAATCTTTCCGTGTTATTGTACGGGTTCAGGATATCAGTTATTAAGGTAATGGAGAGCATTGGATATGAGCAATTTAGTGTACAAGAACTTGTTATCATCATGATATGTTTGCTGTAGGTACTTTCATGAAACTTTTAAAGAATGCAGGTTTAATGTATAGGCATTTTAATCATTCGTTTTACCTGATGCTTCAAGACAATTGAGCCTTGGTGGGAGAATGTGTCAAACTTTTTTTTTTAATTTTTTTTTTCAGCTTGACAAAATTATGGTATCTTACCTCACAAGGAAACACTGCACATATTTGAGACTTAAATTGGCTCTGTAATGCAGATAGATGGAAACACAATATAGACACTTCCCAACAAGGATACTTAGGCACGAAAGATACTATGAGAAAGAGTATGACTCGGATATCTTGAGGACCCCTCTATATAAATATACACACACATGATGCAAATTGGAAGATGGGTGTATTGTACCCCTTTATTGCAACTATTGCCCCCATATATATATGTGTGTGTGTACACATATAGATAGATAGGTATGTCTTAAGTATTGCAACGTCGGAGTTGGTCATGACCCTCTCATGGGAATGTTTGCAAGTGCAATGTCATGGGTAAAAAGTTTTGTTCGATATAGATTGAGATATTATCCGTGTTTAGACTATTCATCCTATCTTAGGAATTACTATAAAGCTCAAGGTTCTGCCATTGAACCAAGTAATGGCTCATAAGATATTCCTGAGATACTCTTAAAGTTAGGTGTTTATTTGACCCACCTTTCCTAACACCCTGCATAAGTGGGACCACGCTGGTTAAATTTTTTGGCAATACCAACCACTAGTAGGACCTATGAACTGGCACCTTTGCATTAAGAAAAAAAAATAAGGACGGGAGACGCAAATTTTGTCGACCACATTTGCAGTTTTAAACGTACAATTCCTTAAAGCATAGAAAAATAAGCTCGAGGATGCTTGTCTCTTTACCTCAAGATTCCATATTTATTTATCCTGAAAAATTGTCTTATTTAAATACTGTAAATGGACATTACATTAGCACATCACACTTCTTCAGGAATCATGCCGTAAATTGATGTTGATATTTCTATATGGTCATAATGCTATTTTTGTAAATTATTTATTTGTTATGTACGTAGGATTTATTCAGGTTGAAGTCCTTTGAATGTGGGCACCTCATTCATTAGTCTTCCTTACATGTCTAATGTAAATTCTTGTTTGCAGGCAACAGCCGTTAACATTATTGTTGGTTCTCATGTATGGGTCGAAGATCCAGTCTTGGCCTGGATTGATGGAGAAGTAACCCGAATCAATGGTCAAGATGTTCACATTCGTATTACAAATGGAAAAACAGTGAGTGCCAAATTGCTACCAGCTTAATCTCTGTGAATTAATTCCATAGCATGAGAAAGCTATGTAATTACCAGGAAACCATAGACACTAGGTGTGAATGTTTCATGTCTGTGAATCAGACGCTATTCTCATGGTTCATTTAGTCATTTTACAGAGGAGTGTTAATGTTTTGATTCTGACACTCTCTCAAAGCATTTTGTTTTTGTATGGTGCTTCTACAAGTCTTATAGATCACAAATTGAAATCAGGTTGTCACAAATATCTCAAAAGTGTTTCCGAAGGATACTGAAGCGCCTCCCGGAGGTGTAGATGACATGACCAAGCTTTCATATCTGCACGAACCCGGAGTTCTACAAAACCTGGCCACAAGATATGAACTTAATGAAATTTATGTAAGATTTCAAATTGTCACTTTTATTTCGAAGTAGTTGTTGATTGTGTACAACTAAAAAGTTGTTGATTGTTACAAAACTGTCTTCAATCTCTTTCCCAGACCTATACTGGAAATATTTTGATTGCAATTAATCCGTTTCAAAGACTACCTCATCTGTATGATACGCACATGATGGACCAATATAAAGGAGCAGCATTTGGAGAGCTAAGTCCTCATGTTTTTGCAGTTGCTGATGTTGCGTACAGGTAATGTTAATGTATTAAATGCAATGTAATATCATTGGGTGATAATTCTATTCATAAGTTTACTTTTAAAATAGGGCAATGATCAATGAGGGAAAGAGCAACTCAATTTTAGTTAGTGGAGAAAGTGGTGCCGGTAAGACTGAAACAACAAAGATGCTTATGAGATATCTTGCAAATCTAGGTGGTCGGTCTGGAGTAGAAGGACGGACAGTCGAACAACAAGTTTTGGAAGTAAGATTAAGGTTTCATTGTTGTAGCTATTGCTTTGGGATAAAAATGTTCTAAAATCTTGAATTATTTTTTTTTTCCATCTCACACGATTTAATGGCGGGAATGCTGTTTGAATTTGTTGGTTGGTGATAAATTTTTCAGTCCAATCCAGTTCTTGAAGCATTTGGCAATGCCAAAACTGTCAGGAATAACAACTCAAGGTGAGAAATTGTTGTAGAACTTCTGTTGATGGGACTGAATCCACCTAATCACTTGTGTATATGTGTCTTCTTCAAGTAGCTAACTACACTTCACATTTTTGTTGATCATGGTACCATAACATAGCCGATTTGGTAAATTTGTTGAGATACAATTTGATAAGAATGGGAGGATATCAGGAGCAGCCATACGAACTTATCTTCTTGAGAGATCTCGTGTTTGCCAAATTTCAGACCCTGAAAGAAACTACCACTGCTTTTATCTTCTTTGTGCAGCACCACCTGAGGTACTTATGCTCTGTTTTACCATGTGGTTTTATGCCTAGTTGCTTTCAAGCTATTGCTTCAAATTTATTAGCAATGTTGCTTGTAGATGTTGAAGTATTTTGATATTTTCCCTCAATTTGCAGGAAAGAGAAAAGTATAAGTTGGGAAGCCCTAGATCATTCCGTTATTTAAATCAATCCAATTATTATGAGCTTGATGGAGTGGATGATGCTCATGAATATCTTGCCACAAGAAGGGCAATGGATATAGTTGGAATAAGCGAGGAAGAGCAGGTTAGCCTTCCCCATCGTTTCAAATGATTTCTTGTGCTTTTGCAGTGAAATTTCTAACATTGATTTTTGTTTCAGGAAGCAATTTTCAGGGTTGTGGCTGCAATTCTTCATCTTGGTAATATTGAATTTGCAAAGGGAAAGGAGATTGACTCTTCTGTGATCAAGGATGAAAAATCTAGGTTCCATCTTAATACCACTGCTGAATTGCTCAAGTAGGTTACTTTCTACACTTCTGAATTTGAATGCATTTTTTGTCTGTAAGATTCATTGTTAATATTCTCTGTTAACCAATGTCATGTGATAGGTGTGATTGCAAGAGCTTGGAAGATGCTCTGATTAAGCGTGTGATGGTGACACCTGAGGAAGTTATTACAAGAACTCTTGATCCGGAAGCTGCTTTGGATAGCAGGGATGCTTTTGCTAAAACCATATACTCCCGTTTGTTTGACTGGTTAGGAAGCTCAATATTATTATGTTGTCATATAATAGACTGGAACAACCATGTCTTCTGGAACATGTTTACACATTATCATTTCAGTTTATAAGTAGCTGTTCTCTATTGTTCTCAGGATTGTGGAAAAGATAAACATTTCGATTGGGCAGGATCCAAACTCAAAATCACTTATTGGGGTCCTTGATATATATGGGTTTGAAAGTTTTAAGCAAAACAGGTAAAACTGTTCATTAGAACTCTCTTTAGCAATGTGATATATGTATCCTTAGGGGTGTTATGCTGACAAGTATTTGGATGAAATAGTTTTGAGCAGTTCTGTATCAATTTTACTAATGAAAAACTGCAACAACATTTTAACCAGGTAAGCTTGCTTTCATATGAGTCAGTGGGCAGTATTTTCAGTATTGTATCTTGGATTTCTTATGCAAAAAGTGTGTAATTTTGCTCTTGCAGCATGTGTTCAAGATGGAACAAGAAGATTACGAGAGGGAGCAAATAAATTGGAGCTACATAGAGTTTGTTGATAACCAGGATGTGCTCGATCTGATTGAGAAGGTGTGCAAATGTTGCTTGATTTGGCTACCATTTCATTTATCTTTATAATTTGTATGTTTTGACCTGGATTTTATATGATGAACCTGTATGTTCGAGTTGTAGACAAGTGATCAGTTTAACACATTTTTATTATTCGTGTAATGTTTGAATTTAGATCATGACAACTGAAAAGATTGAAAATATTGCAGAAACCTGGAGGAATTATTGCACTTCTAGATGAAGCCTGGTATGCTACTGAGTTTTGACTCTTCGCAATCCACCACTGCTTCTAGTCTTATAAATTATCTATATCTCTTTTTGAGGTTACAGGGTATTGTTAACCCATGTTCTTTCTGATCTATGATATTCTATAGTCTTGTCAGTTTTGGTTGGAGGGCATAAGAAGTGCTATTCAGTTTGTGTGATTTGAATTCATAAACCTATTACTGCTTGCTGCAGCATGTTTCCTAAATCTACTCATGAAACATTTGCTCAGAAGTTATATCAGACATTTACGAAAAACAAGCGTTTCATCAAACCTAAGCTCTCTCGCACTAGTTTTACAATTTCTCACTATGCAGGCGAGGTAACTTTCTGTCATATATAGTATGCTCATTCTTTCCTCTGCTTTTACCCTTGTTTTTCTGATCTGTCCTTCCATGTTTTGCAGGTGACTTATCTTGCCGATCTGTTTCTAGACAAAAACAAAGATTATGTGGTGGCAGAACATCAGGATCTTTTAACGGCCTCCAAGTGCCCCTTTGTGGCTGGTTTATTTCCTCCCCTTCCGGAAGAATCATCAAAGTCATCTAAGTTTTCTTCCATTGGGTCGCGCTTTAAGGTGACTAATTCGTTCCTGACTGCCCTCATGTAGACTAAAATGCACCGCTCATTTGTCATGGAAGTTACTTGTTCTGCTGTAGAGATCACGAGGGGTCGGGGGAATGTTTTCTGTAGAGAAAAATATCCACAGTGAAAGAATAGAAACTTGAGTGCTTGAGGCTACAGATAATCTGAATGCTGTTACTTTGTGAAGTTTATGCTCTAAAATCCATCTGAGAATGTTACTCTTGTATAGATTAGTACAATGCCAAACCAGTCTGTATCCTATCTTCACCAATTCCTAAAATAGTAACCTACCTAGAACTTCCCTGACGAGGAGAGCTTGTAGTTGTCGTTGGTTGACATGACATCTTGGTTGGGGAAAGGGATCCTGGAATGAAAATGTCCCTAGGGCCTTGTAAATCTGATTTGTTGGGCTGTTTAAGGCCACTTGTAGCAAATAAAAAGATACAGAATCTCTTTCAGACAATGCCATGTTGAGGTTGACAGAACCATGATCTTGGTAAGTTGATGGTTGTAAAGTTTTGAGTTAATTCAACTGGCACCAAGGTTTTGTTGGTAGTAGGTTTCAACAAATTGCATCAGATAGGCTGCTCTTCTTGGTCTCTTCCCCTTTTCCCTCCACACTCCACTCCCTTCCTTCCACAGTTCGAACACCTTTTTATTTCTTTCCTCACGAACAGTTTGAGTGATCATTCATTCATTCTATACTCCTTCCTTTTTTATTCTTCATTTTATTTCTTAGTGTGAAATATTGTCAGTGAAAAAGATTTATAGGCATAATGCACACCAACCACATGGAAAACAGATGGGCCGACCTTGAGGGGGGTATTCCCCCTAGTGAATAGATAGAGCATGCAAAATAACCCAATCCCCATATAAGGCATAATATAGCAACCAGCATGGAACCCCAAACCTGGGCAAGACCTAGTATCCAGTGCTACCACAATCGAATTCCAAGCCATAGGTTTCCACAAAATTGAGATTGGCAATGTTTGGATAACAGATCAAGATTGCCCTCAATGTTGGCTTTCAAGTTCTCTGGCGTTCCAGGTCAGCTGGAATTCTGTATAAACTGAAGGAATGGTGGGCTTGTTAGTTTTGTGACAGTGATTTTCTTGCATGGTAACAAATGTGGGGTTTGGGAATTATCTGTTATGGTTGTAATTCACAATTTGAGAGTTCTTTCAGGTAATGTCGTGAGCTATTTTAGAGATTTTTGAGACTACTTTTCATAGCAGTCTGCAATGTACCAGCAATAATTCATGTGTTCTTTGTGATGCTTGGGATACAGGAATAAAATCCAAGGATTAGTTCAATATCCGTTCATCTGATGAAAATAACAGTATAAATAGTCATGATTGTTAGTTTAAATAAACATAATAGTTGACATGTGGCAAAGTGGCATGCAGTAGGTTAGTGTAAGTTTTCAATATGCATATAACTTGTTGCTCAGGAGGCTGGGAAAATTCTGACGCATACGAGATTCGGCTACATACTTGCAGCTGCAACTTCAATCTTTGATGGAGACCTTGAATTCGACAGAACCTCACTACATCAGATGTGTGAAACCAAACAATGTCCTCAAGCCTGCTATCTTTGAGAACCTGAATATAATTCAACAATTGCGCTGTGGTGTAAGTATATTGTTGCAAAACCTTGGACTTCTTTTGCTTATCTATTTTGTCTGACCTGTGATCTTAACCTAGAAATTTTATAGGTCCTGATATATCTTTGTGTGAAAAATTTCCTGGTATTTCTTTTGCTAGGGTGTTCTCGAGGCAATCAGGATCAGTTGTGCTGGATACCCCACTAGACGAACATTTTATGAGTTCCTTCTCCGTTTTGGTGTTCTTGCTCCAGAAGTTTTAGAAGGAAAGTAAGTCATATATTCTTGTGTTTCTCTATTGGTAATGACTTTTTTTGAAAATTGGTTAGCTAACTATGAAGTTAATGTGTATATCTAATGGCCCCTTACATAGGTTTCCTTTTTTTCTTCTTCTAATCATTGTCATCTTCGTTGTCATCATTGTCAACCTAGTTTTTTAACGGCTATAACTTCTTGTACAGCCATGATGACAAGGTTGCATGTCAAATGATTTTGGACAAAATGGCATTAAAAGGTTATCAGGTAACATTTGATTATTAGGATTTTTCCCTTAATATTTAAGAACTTCCATTGTTTATTGGTTTTTAGAAATTGCAGCATGTATTGAACTTATTTAAATATTCTAATTTTTGCGGCCCTGTGCACAAGACTCCTGTCACTGTGAGGTATGGGGACAGGAGGGCAGATGTACGCAGCCTTACCCCACTTCCGAGGAGGCTGTTTAAATATTCTAATATGTTTTTTCTTTTTGCAACTGACTTTTATACCTTCAATTGTTTTGGTATTTTGAAACCCTAGTTTTATAATGCAAGATGTGCCAAATGACGCAACCATATTGGACTCTGGGAGTTTATGTTTCAATTCATTATATGATGTGCTTGGCTTGGCAGATAGGCAAGACAAAGGTCTTCCTACGAGCTGGTCAGATGGCAGAGCTAGATGCAAGGAGGGCAGAGGTTCTTGGAAATGCAGCTAAAATCATTCAACGGCAAATTCGTACTTACATTGCTCGCAAGGAGTTTATCTCATTACGCCAAGCTGCCATTCAACTGCAGTCATGTTGGCGAGGTATCTTTAATTGTTTTCTTTATGTCATTATTTTAGCTCTTACTTCTTTCATCAGAGCCCACTATTAAGCATAACTGCATATATACCATTTTTTTTTTTTTGGATAAGTGGTATATGTATGATTATGTAAGAAGACTTGGTAGAACTGCTCTAAGCTTCTGCAGAAAAGGTTGTAATATTCCACTATGGTTATTTGTGGAATATGTTGATTTAGCATACGAAGCATGCATAAAATAGGAGTCTCACTGTATGAGCTGAATGCCTATGGAAACTTGCAAGTTTGGTCACTTAAGTTCTCAAGGTTGTGCTTCTTGGTGTTTTCCTCGAATTTCAAAATTCTTTTGCTGCCATGGTGAGATATGATTATTATTTTGGAATTAACGAGTAAGAAGAGTTACAGAAACATCTATTATGTATCAAGTTCGTGTAGCTATCTTATGGACTATGTTGACTTGATCTTTAATGCTGATGATGGACTGTATTAGGAGGCAGTCTATTCTGAATGGAAAATATACTCGTATTTTCCTGCTTATTGAGGTTCTATTAACTGGTGTATCTAGTTAGAAATTCTGGTGCAAATTGTAACTCTCCAAGTGTGTATATATTTATATATAACATCTTTATAACCAGGTATGTTGGCTTGCAAACTATATGACGAATTGCGTCGGGAAGCAGCTGCTCTCAAGATTCAAAAGAACTTCCGATGTTACATGGCTAGGAAATCTTACTTAACAGTGAGGTTGGCTGCAATCACATTGCAGGCAGGCATGAGGGCTATGACAGCTCGCAATGAATTCAGATATAGAAAACAAACTAAGGCTGCCATTAAAATCCAGGTCTTGCTACATTTCACCCCCAATAGTCCCCAATTTAAACTGGTTGCAAAAAATTAGATGTTGAGTACATGATATTGTTGGTCACTTGTAGGCCCATTGGCGTTGCAACAGAGCGTATTCTTACTACAAGAGTCTTCAAAGGGCTTCTATTGTTACTCAATGTGGTTGGAGACAACGGGTTGCTCGGAGAGAGCTTCGGAACCTTAAAATGGTCCGATCCCAATCCATTATGTGCTATTTTTCTTTTGTGCAACTTATGCGTCATATGGTTCCATTCAAAGGATGGATTCTCAAATATATTGAATTTTATTCAGGCTGCAAGGGAAACAGGCGCCCTCAAAGAAGCAAAAGACAAGCTAGAAAAGCGTGTGGAAGAACTTACATGGCGGTTGCAGCTTGAGAAGCAATTAAGGGTATATTTTTATTTCGTTTTTTTATATACTTAACGGTTTAGTGTACAGTATTTGAATAGCACCAAATATTTGTTTTGTTGACAGACTAATTTGGAAGAAATCAAATCCCAAGAAGTTGCCAAATTACATGAGGCTTTGCATGCAATGCAAATACAAGTAGAAGAAGCAAATTCCAGAATTATCAAAGAACGAGAGGCTGCACGGAAAGCTATAGAAGAAGCTCCTCCAGTCATTAAAGAGACCCCTGTTATAGTTCAAGACACAGAAAAGGTTGATGCATTAACAGCTGAGGTAGAGAGCTTGAAGGTAGGCATTCTGACTTGGAGGATGATCACAAGTGATACATTGCATGCAACAAAGTCCACATAATGTGACTGAACTTTTTTCCAAATTCAAAAATACTATTGGGATGGATATTTTGTGCTTCACTCTGCCAAGGTAATGTCTGTTTTGAGCAGGTGGTGGCCACAATTTCCAGGTAGCATATGGAAGCTTTAGACATTAATTAAGTGCTGGTAGTTTGTCCACGTCTGCAGGGGTGGCAAAATATTGGCTTTCATGAGTTATGGTAGCATAGTCTAGCATTTTAGGTCTTGTCTTCCTGATGAAGCAAACTTCCATCAGTTTTTTATGACAAACTTCATGAAAAAGTTCGAAGAAACATTTTTGCAATCATTTACTCCTAGAGTTTGTCCATCCTCCTTGCACATGCTTTTGTGCTGGAATCTCTCACTTTAGCATGGTCTGCACATCTGACTTCAATTCTGTATTGGATTAATTAAGCTGTCAGTGAACCAATTTTCTGGTTTCCATTTCCAAATCCAGAATTGACATATAAACATGTTGATAAGTATGTTAACTATCATTCAGCATGTACAGCAATTGGTTTTTAAATTATTAAGCATTACCATAAAGAAATAGAGAATGGATTTCTGAGGAACCACTGGCTCAATAATATTCTATAAATCTTACAGGCTTTGCTACTATCAGAGAAGCAGGTTACAGAAGAGGCTAGAAAGGCTTTTGCAGATGCTGAGAGTAAGAATGCAGCGCTGGTTACAAAACTTGAAGACACAGAGCGAAAAGTAGATCAGCTTCAAGATTCTGTGCAGAGGTTTGTTAACACAATATTAAAGATACAACTACTAGAATATTCACCTCATATCATTACAATAAATTAACATGTGGAAAACAATCAGCACTCTTCTGTTTGTTTAACATTTATTTTCTAGTTATCTGAATACAACTGTAATAAGATAAATACCAGCAAGCACACCTATTATGGTAGTTTACTGTCCTGTGCTTGGTTCTGACTGCATAAGTTTGCCATCACACAACTTATTCCAGAAAATGACCTCTTCTTGCCTCTCATCTTCCTATGTTTACAACACATGTACATGCTTACTACGTGAATCTCTTTCTCTCTTTCATATATGCCTTTATGCATTCTTTGTTTTACTTGTTATTAGTAGAACCTTTTTGACCTTTTTTTCTTGTCTGCATCAGGCTTGAGGAAAAACTTTCTAATAGTGAGTCGGAGAATCAAGTACTTCGTCAGCAAGCACTGACCATATCACCAACTGGAAAAGCTTTATCTGCACGACCAAAAACAACAATTATTCATGTAAGGATGACATATTAGGCCATTTCATTCTAATACTAGTTTGTAGAGATATTCTTAGTACTTCTTAATAAAATTGCAGAGAACTCCGGAGAATGGAAATGTGCTGAATGGAGAAACAAAATTTGCACCTGTAAGAAGATTTTTGTTACTTTCACCTTTTTGAGAAACAAACAACTGCCTAATTGAAATACGATTGTTGAGGTTGATAATGCCAGGAATTTTGTGTTACTTATGGTCTGTTACATGTTAGCAGGACATGACTCTTGCTGTATCAAATCCACGGGAGCCTGAATCTGAAGAAAAACCACAGAAATCCCTTAATGAAAAGCAGCAGGTTAGTAGCCATTGGCATGGAAGGAAGCAAAGTTGTACCTATTTTATATTTCCTATTTGAAATGCTAAAATTATTTTCGGTTTCTGAATTGCTTTGCTGCAATCTGCAAATCCTGTACAGGAGAACCAAGATCTACTGATCAAGTGTATTTCACAAGATTTAGGGTTTTCTGGAGGCAAACCTGTTGCTGCTTGTGTCATATACAAATGCCTTCTCCACTGGAGGTCATTTGAAGTTGAAAGAACTAGTGTGTTTGACCGTATAATCCAGACTATAGCTTCAGCCATAGAGGTAACTGATATCTTCCGGATTATGTTGACCTATTTCTTAGTTGATTGTTGTCACATTCAGCAATTCTATTATACCACACTCTCGGCGTCTGCTTGAGGAAATTAAGTTATGTTTGATGGTATTCTGTCCTCGCGCGTGTAAATTCACAGCTTGAATATTGTTTGCTTTGGAAACATGTATGATGTTGAAGGTCCAGGATAATAATGACATGTTAGCTTACTGGTTGTGCAATACGTCCACATTGTTGATGCTACTCCAACACACACTCAAAGCAAGTGGAGCAGCTAGCTTGACTCCACAACGCCGGAGATCATCATCAGCTTCTCTCTTCGGGAGGATGTCCCAAGTATGGGCCAACCATTTACATATACTACCAGATTTTCCTGGCAAGACACCAATATGCATTTTGTCTTGTCCCCCTTTTGCTTCTTTTATTTTCTTGATATATATATATTTGTATTCTAGGGATTGCGAGCATCTCCACAGAGTGCTGGGCTCTCATTTCTCAATGGTCGAGTGCTTGGTAGATTGGACGACTTACGTCAAGTTGAGGCAAAATATCCAGCTTTGCTGTTTAAACAACAGCTTACTGCTTTCCTTGAGAAAATATATGGAATGATAAGAGACAATTTAAAGAAAGAAATTTCCCCATTGCTTGGGTTATGTATTCAGGTATATACTTCATTACTTTATCATACATGTTGAGATGGTTATGACTTGCATAGCAAAGCAAAAGGAACATTATATTTGTAGTTGATGTATAATTGTCTTGCAATCCCAAAAGGAAGGGCCAAAACAAAATTATCCTTTTCTGATAGTTTATGAACAATGAATGTAATACATACAAAACTTGCTTTGCATTTGCATGTCAATGACAGAGGAGTAGGACTGATTATACATACTGGCCAAAGCTGTAATCATGAGTGTCTCAAAGACCATAGACTTTCTATTTTTTTTTTTCTCTTTACAAACAAGAAGTGTGAATCTTTTGAAAATGTTACAACTTGCCTCAAACCCTTTTCAAGTAGCTTCTCCAAATATATGCATTATGCTCACCGTCCTGTGTGGACAGTTACATAACATTTTGTAATACTTTTTCTTGGGATTTTAAAGCATGCACCCTCAAAGATGTTGGATAACACAATGGATACTTTGATGGAGCACCTTGTGGGGTAATAGTTAGCAATCTCTACCTGGATGTTAGGATCTAATCCATGTAAGGCATTCAATGCAGGCACCTAGGACATCTCGTGCTGGTTTGATAAAGGGGCGTTCACAAGCTAATGCTGTTGCTCAACAAACTCTGATCGCTCATTGGCAGAGCATTGTGAAAAGCCTAAATAATTACTTGAAGACAATGAAAGCAAACTATGTGAGTTCTAAATAATTGCTTAAGTTTTTCTTCTTTTTGTTTCCCACTTGATCCTTGTGGGAATTGAAGGAATGTTATTGATCTTCTACTATTGCAACATTACAGGCTCCCCCCTTCTTAGTTCACAAAGTGTTCACTCAAATATTTTCATTTGTCAATGTTCAGCTATTTAACAGGTAATTTGCTTAAGACCTCTATATGTATCTGCTTGTTTTGCAGTCCGCTGATTTGATTTATAACTTTTTTCCTTAATACATTTCTGCAGTCTTCTTTTGCGACGTGAATGTTGCTCATTCAGTAACGGAGAGTATGTAAAAGCAGGGTTGGGCGAATTAGAGCAATGGTGTTGCTATGCAACTGAGGAAGTAAGCTCCCCACAGCAGAATAATCTTATTTTCTGTGGTAACGTTAATGTCTTTAACAAACATCTTTTTTTTGTTCAGTATGTAGGCTCAGCTTGGGATGAATTGAAGCATATTAGACAGGCTGTTGGATTCCTAGTAAGATTTTGTTTCATTGGCTTGTCTGCATAGTAGATTGTATAATTGTAATTTTGTTTTCTGAACTACATAATTCTCCCAATGTCTTCACAACTCAGGTTATACATCAAAAACCCAAAAAGACTTTGAATGAGATAACGAATGAACTGTGCCCTGTGAGTATTTTTCCATTTTAGCTGAATGTTCTTTTTAAATTGTGGCTTCTTTCTTTTTTCAAAACTTTTATTTTTTGTAATTTTTTTCATGTTTTGACTTTTGTTTGATGCTTCATTAGGTGCTCAGCATTCAACAATTATACAGGATCAGTACTATGTACTGGGATGACAAATATGGCACCCACAGTGTATCTTCAGATGTAAGTTAACTTAAACTGCACTGTGGAATGCTCGACTTTGACCAACTATTTGTTTATCCCTGTGTATTCGTTTGGTATATTCCTCGAACGTGTGATTTCTAGCTTTGACTTGGTTTTCCTTATGAAATTCTTACTATTTTCCCGAATAATACAGGTTATTTCGAGTATGAGGGTTCTGATGACAGAGGACTCTAACAGTGCTGTTAGCAGTTCGTTTTTATTGGATGATGACTCGAGGTAATCTTTTTCAATACCTTCTCATGATATTAGTTATGGTTGTTCAGGTATTTGGGATATTATAACCTATCGATTTGATACTGATGTTTTACTGTTCTGCCTTAATTGAATGTCAATGCAGCATCCCATTCTCTGTGGATGACATATCCAAGTCAATGCAACAAGTAGACATAGCTGATATTGAACCTCCGCCATTAATCCGTGAAAACTCTGGGTTTGTATTTTTACATGGACGCTCGGAATGATGAATGGTCATGGCGTGCGATGCTTGAATCCTATCTCCAGCCCCAATACGGCTGGCTCTGCTCGTCAATTGATGTGTGGAAACCTGTGCATAGAAAACCTCATTGTCCATTGAGTCATGTGTTACTGTATATTTTTTGTATTCACTCGGGCAACCTATATTATTTCTCGGTTGTTCGAGTCAATTCATTTTCCCCCTCTGTGTCCCTTCAACACAAGAGGCATTCATTAGGAGGTGTTTGGCTATTCGTGTGATGTTGTGCATTGGTTTTCCTGTTGGTGTTTGTTGGGCTTGCAAGAGTGTAGTCTATGGCAAAAGTTGCAATTTTTAGGTCTATATTTGTACTAGTGGGAAGTACATGCGTTTTATTTCTTTCTTTTAAATGGGAAGTAAATGTATTTACTATTTAGGGTAATGTATTAGTTTGAAAATCATAGTTGAAGTGTCTACACTGTAAATGACTGAATTTTTTTCCTCCTATAGTTGGAAATTGAAAAGAAAGTTTCAATATTGGCTTTTACATATCATCAAGCATTATTGAGTCTGACAACAGGTTATGACACAGTGGTAAGCTCGTTATATCGTGACTTGGGTATCAAGGATTAAGTCAAGGAATTAGTCTTTTGACATGTAGGGATACCATTGCATACACAGTACATCTCATTCCATGAGACTGCGAGACATCTCGTGTAGTGGATTGCTAATGCAGAAGATAATTGATGGAAATGAAGGAGGGTTTATATTCAATAGGGTGCTTGTTAACAGAAATCAGAGGCCAATTGATGCAAACGGTTGCAGGCTTGCAGCTAACCGGATGTTTCTGCACAAAATCTAGTGCTGGAAACTTCAGATCAGCATATTGATCAAGAAGCCAACATTAAACAGCAATTTGCTGCAATCGATGTTACGAGACAAGAATCGGGTATTTTGCTCAAACTAAGGATCAAAAATTTGTTTTGGTGCTTAAAAATGGAAATAAGAATGAAATAAATAAAAAATTTAAAAATTTGTTTCCAAAACTTTGGTTAAAACAACCGAAATAGTCTGAATCACAAGTCAAAATACCTTGAAACATAAAAATTTTGATATTGAATTAATAATCTGTTTTGGTTTCCATAGAATCGGAAACATTCGACCGTTTCGAAATAAAATTCCTTTGTCTCGGACAAATAAAAATTTCTGCACAGACGAGAGATTCAGAACGATCGTATGCCATCACATTCTATCATGCTACAATTTCTTACATTGACATCACTATTAAAATCAGATTCTCAACAAAGCATTTCAGAAACAGTTATTTGGAGTACTAAAACACCTGTTGAAAAAAAAAAAGAGTACTGAAACACCTGAACATGGAAACTTTGTTTCAGATCTCCTTACACTTTCTACAAGTTTCAACCTACCACACAAACGGGACAACCATTATCACTGATTTGAAAACAACTACCAACTTCAACAGCTAAGAATCAAATCAATTTTGATGTCCCTTCCCATGGGATACGAAACTCTGTTTCTAAGACATTACTTGTAAACAGCTGTAAAGATTCAAACTTGTCTCGACAGTGAGACAGAATTTGTTGTTTTCATTGAATTTCCAGCACAACTGAAGACTGGTCTACCTGAGTTTGTATGGAGTCTATGGAGTATTGGCTCATACTATGTTCCCATTGCATTTTCCGGCCCAACTGACTGATCTTCCTGAGTACTGACTATAGGCTGCTGCATTTCTGTTTTTTTCTTCTCCTTGAGAACCACTTGCCTAGGCATCACTTCCAGTAAAAAGCTTCCTCCATTCCATATGGCTGCAGAAACCTTGAGTATTTGGAAAATAAGATGTAATTTGTACGACAAAAATATGGGGACCGTGAGTGCCATGGTTGCCACAGTGAAGATGGCTTGGAGAAGAATATACATAAACATCCTATTCTGCTCCCCAAGCAAACCACTTAAACGCCACCATACATTGTTTGCCTTTTGTGCTTTCTTTGAGAGTTCCCTATCAAACCAAGTAGCTGTTAGAATAACTAGCAATGCAAGTGGAACCAAACATGGACTTAGAAAATGAGAGCGCAATCCACGAACATGTCTTTATGACCAATTAAATTAATTTTCTACTTTTTTTTCTCTTGGCTCTGTTTTGGCAGGCAAGCATGAGTTTTGATAAACAAAATGGAAGCACAAATCCACAACGTAATATATACCCTGTGTAATGATAATTGCGCAAAAGAGCACCCCAGCCCAAGACACAAATACAAAAAGTCTCGAAGATATAAGATATCCTCTAAAAGTGTACAACAGTTGGAATTGTCAGCTGATATTTAAGTGACAAAGCTACAATTTGATATGTGTGTTCAGCAATTATTTATCCTCGAGGTTCAAATGTTAGATCAGAAAAAATCTCATGGGGGTGCATGAACATGGCACTGTGCTTAGATTTCTATCCAACTGTCAAGTCGCCATTTTTGTACAGAAATGGCATCTTGTCAGAGGACAACTTCTCCATACTAAACTTCCATTTTCACAAAAATGTGGTTTGGTTTAGAAGGATAGAATAGATATTGGAAAGAAAAAAGTGAGAACCTGTAAGATGTCATGACTTCGGGATCTCTTAACAGCCTCTGTCGACGAAGGACATTTACAATGAGAAAATAGAGAACCTGCCAAAGGCTGTAAGCAATTAAAGGAACTAGAAATAGCCATGTCCACAGATAAGATTTGCTTTCTACATAAGGCCATGACACTCTCTGAGCAGTTCCTTCTGGATGCATGGCTGCAAAGAATGTTGGATCCCACCATCGAATTGTGAAAAAAACCAACCCTAAGTTAAAAAAAAAAACAATAAAAAAAATTAGGTGCCATGGTTTCAGTTGATAACTGACTAACATGGTTATATGTGAAGTCTACATGAAATGCAGAGAGATATTTACATGAACTTTGAACAACGAAAAATGCATTCTGTAATTTACACAATTTCCAGAAACATTGGGAAGTAAATGACCATTGTTTTGGTAATTCCAACAAATTCAAATTCATAACTCAAAAAACTTGTAAGGAAAAAAAAAAAACTGGAAGAAAGAATCTCTCATGATGTTGACTACAGTACTGCTGGAAATTCTGCAAGACAATTAGTAATTGAACTTGACTTCAACTGATACCAGCCCATAAATTCAAAGGGATTTGTATCCTCAATCTAGTGAAGCAATAGCATAAAAGGAATCTAAGAAACTGTCTCCAACAGTAGAAGTATACTCCATCTGTCAGCGGAATTAATTAAAGTTTGGGAGCATAATTTATACTACTTTCCAGAAATGACCATAATATTGAAGATTCATCTTTATTAAAAGCAGGTAAATCGAACACAAAGTTCCAACATACCGAAAAAAGAAACAAGACAAAGTTCCACTGGTCAACCCAATTCTGATTTCCTCATACGGAAAACAGGAAAGCCAATATGAAGAGAGTACAGCAATCAAGAAATCCTAAAGGGCAAAGTTTGGTACATCGGTGACAAATGAATTACAGTACTTTTTTAAATCAGCAGATGTAACCTTGCCTTTTCTAGCTAGAACATAGATTTCTCATTCGTAGAATTAGCCATGCAGAAAAAAAAAGGTCCAACTCACCAGGTAAAAGATGTATGAGGACGCTTACAAGTTTGTCAACAGAACTAAAAACTAAGCTACAACGCCAAACAATCAACGCCCATGCCAGTGGTCCCTGTAGTCACGCAGAAAAGGGATCCAAATATAAAGGAAGGGACCTGGGTTATCATGAAGATTGCTCACATAAAACAAGGTATTGTTTGCTTACCTCTGCGAATGAGAAGCAAACCATGAAAAGTTTTTCATTTCTCGGATAGAACAGAAGTTGAACCAAGAAGATCGTGTTGGCATAGTAACAAAAATCCTGTGTGGAACAAGAACCACATCATTTATTTCATTCTAATCTTGAAAGTACTCAAAAAACTAAGAAACAAAAGGTTAAAATTTATAATTTTGGTGATGAAAAACACCTATGTTGAAGAAAACTGAGGCTCAGAAGGGATAGTGTTAATAATAAAAGTGGCAATTGGTGTAGACAGTGTCAACCAAGCATGCACTGGACAACTATCCTATTTGATATTTGTTTTGCCACAGGTAAACACTATCAAACCATTTACTGCAGCCCACTCCGTGACACCTATCCCCCAAAATAAAATAAAATAAAGGGGAAAAACCAAGAACAGGCTGCATGATCTAGATAAATGTCCAAAAACAGTATCTCCATAGGCCATAGCAAATCAGAAACCAAGATTTTGAGACCAGGACCCAGAAAATCAGCCATGAAAATAAAACCCCACTAAATTATTAAAAGTTAGGATTTGAGATAAATATACTAAAGCAAGAAAACAAATTTAGGAGATGTACTTGAGCTTACCAAAAGATAATAGTGCCATTTCTTATACCGGTAATAAATCCATCGAAGAGGAACGAAGGTGAAGAAGAACAAACAATAAACATATGGTATATCTTGTGGCCCTGATAAATAAAAAAACAACCAAACCAACAAATTAGCAAACACTTTGTAAAAAAGTGTTGATCTAAATGATAGCTTAATTCCATTAATCAAGAGTAAGATACTTACTTGCACCTAAAAGAAAGCAAAATGTCCCAAACCCCAGAACGCCCATAAAATGAGTCACCTATAAACAAACAAAAGCCCAATCAAAATAGAATAGAAGCTCATATAAAAATAGATTTAAAAAACTAACAAGTAACCAAATGGTCTAATGAACATGCATATATGAAATCAAAACAATCAGATAAATAACAATCAAATAAATATACCTTGTTAATGAATCTTTCATGTTCCTCGGCTTGCTTAGCGATCTTATCGGCTTGTTTGGACAAAATTTGCTTTGTTTTCTCCTTTGTCTGTGCCACTTTCTAAATGCCCAGACGGAAAAAACTATCACCCATCGTCACAAAATATTCTTCAGATTGAAGAACAATAAAAAAAAAAAAATTGTCTATTCATACCTCGGATCTATCTTTGAGCCTTTGCTTAACCGTCCCAAATGAATCCCCATTCGAATCCTCCATAGATTCTTCGTTGCTTGACATTTTTCTTAATCTTCAAGAACTCTATTCAAGAGAGAGAGAGAGAGAGAGAGAGAGAGATGGTGGCTTGGAAGAAAGGTGGTGGTGCTTGCCTTCGAATTTGTTCAGTATAGATATAAGCCTGTCACTGTTTCCTCAAATGACTATCGATTTAGGGGAAAGCTACGGTATCCCCGAAAATTACAAGTAATAATTTTTTTTTTTTAATATGCGTGTAACTTATAATTTTAAAGGATACGATTAATTATGAAAGATTAATTATGAAAAATTAGGATCAAAAGTTTACGACCGAGATGTTGCTATAACGAAAAGTTAGTGATATTCATTCCTTCCTTCCTCCCTTTCTTTATTAGTATCCTAGTTTTATCTTTTATCTAATAAATACTTAGATATTTTATTTTGTTATTTTTTAATAAATAATTATAAAAAAATTTAAACTAAAATAACTTGCAAGATTATCCAAACCAAATCGTGTCTAAAAAGGGGCACGCAACTCTTCGATGTATGACAGACAGACAGACACTATCTACCATGCAAGACTATCCAAATCACGTCTAAAAAGGGGCTCTTTAATGAAACCAAATACAGCAGCTCATTGGGTTGCCATTGTTGTACTATCCACTTCTCTTATTGTGAATTAATTAAACTAGCTATCATCGTTAGAGTTTAAGGTTTTTTTTTTTTTTTTTTATATCAAAAAATATTTCACTCATATCTAATTTATTTATTAATTTGTGTCTAACGATAACGAATCGTGTTATATTAAATTTGTATTATGTATAAATTACGTATAATCGATATATATGATTAATTTCACTCATAATCGATTATTTTATTAAACTTAATCTTAGCCAAAAGGCCGAGAGGAAGTTATAATCTTTAAATTTCTACTTATTAAAAATCATTAAATCTTATGCATGTTTTATTTTTCAAAGACTATTCCATACAAGTACAGATTCTGCTTCCTTTTCCGATTTTAGTTCTTATATAATAAGAATGATAGTTTTGTTAATAACTAAAAATCAATTTATGAAAATGATAGTTGTAGTATGTCCCTTAATAAATTTTTGGTCAAAACTAAGGAGAAAAAAATCTACATCTTCATGTTGGCACAATCCATGAACCTAAGATAAAATTAACACGAAATTAACAGTTTTACGTTTAAGTTTAGCATGCTTGAGTGATAAACAGATAAAACCGTTAAACCCGTTAACTACACGAGTTGATACAATTCCATTAAATATGATTAATATATAGTTTTTTTTGGATATCCTCTCACGGGTGAGATTAAATTAGCACAAACTACATATAATGGGAATCTGACTAAACACAATAATAAATAAATTGATGTGAATTGAACAAATTAAGAATGGGTTAATGTTGGGTTAAGAATAGGGCCGCTAGTTGAATGAGTCCGAGTCGAGCCGAGCTAGAAAAATTTGTTTTTTAATTGAGTATGAAAAATTTGTTTTTTAATTGAGTTTTAAAAATTGTTCAAGTTCGGCTCATTTAGGAAACGAACCGAACTTGGACGAAGCGAACTCGAGTCGAACCCAAGTATTTGCGCATAAATGAGCCGACCTTATAAGACTTGTTTTTTAAACGAGCTTAAAAACTTGTTCAAGTTCGAGCTCTTTTAAAAATAAACTAAGCCTGAACGAACTAAATTTGAGTCGAATTTAAGTTGAGTTCGAATCATTCAATTTGATTAACAATCGTACTAAATAACCAACACAAGCTCAACACCCAATAAAATCCGTGGATGACAGCATTGTAAATGCGTCGATTGTTCGGCGCAGCACGCAGCAGGAAATGCATTTAGTTGCAGAGGGAGGGAGGGATAATAAGGTTCTTTCTGGATAGTAAATTCCGTTCTTCAAGGAGCCGGCATTAAAATTTGATATGCATAGAGGTGAGGACTGGTCCTCATTCCTACCTAGCTTACCCTTTGACAGACCCAATGAGAATTCAAAGCTCACAAGTCCCAATCACTCCATAGATTTTTGAATTTTCACTGTTTTTGCAGACATCACTTTTGCTTGAGGATTAAATGCATTGAAATTATTGAATTAGCGATCGATTTCAACGGGTAACAAAATTTTTTATCAATCCAACAATAATAACTTACAAGACAATCCTTAAATATGTACAGATAACATTATTTTTTCAGATATTTCATACTAGAAAAACATAAACAATGCATGATATTGGTATCAAGGTAAAGAGAGAAGAAATATGAGTAGAAAGTTTCAAAACGGTTTGGATATTTTAGTTTACTAGGTTGAGTCAATTGAGAGAGTCTAATATTAGGTATAACAGATTCACCACGTCATCATATTGACGTGGTGTAATCGTTCAATAATAAGATAATATGTGGACAAGTGGATAACTACCCATTTACGTCGTGTAGTAACTATTTCATGTGGGATCCACATGCCCACATCTTGTCTTATTACTAAACGATTTTATTGTGTCAGTATGATGACGTGATGTAACTGTTACATCCAATATTTTCTCGAGAGAGTCACCCAAGCGGCCACTCTTGTATACATATATATATACAAGTTGTAATCTGCGCCTAAATGAACAATATAACATAAAATATATTTTAAATTTAACAAATTTTATTTTCTTCTCATTTTATAGATAATTGTATTTCACAAGGTTAAGATATATTTTTTATGTAAAAATTTGCCACTCATTACTTTTGATGTTTATATCTTATGGGATTTATCGATCTTTGGTATTTGTCATTTCTTTCATTTATCAGCTACTAATTTGATCAATAGGAACTGTCCAATTTTGACCAACCATAATTTTGGGTGAAAATCACTTTAATACATGGTTTTGGCCAAAATAATAATAATAATAAATCATACTCTATACAATGCTCAAATAAAAGTGGAGAAATTTGGGACAAAGCCCAAAAATGCATAACCTAGTAGACCAAAAAACAGATAACTGCTAACTGCACACATAACTATGAAAGTAATGCATAGAAGATTGGGTGATCATTGCTGATACCTAACCTGGACATTGAATTGGAGGCGCAGGTGCACTGTCTGTAGTTAATACAGAAACTTCTAGCATCATTATCATCTTAACTCCTTCACCCTCAGCAGACTAGGGCAGGATGGAACAATCTCTATCAAACCCCCCCTCCCCCTCTCCTTTTCAAATATTGTAATGGCGGAAACTTTGTGCATTATATTGTCGTTTTTAATGCATGTACTTAGGTGAGTTTAACACCTTTTTCTTCAATAAGTGTTTAAAAATTGTCGACGCTGAAAAATGTTAACATTTAATATCAAGAGACAGAAGCAAGTGCTTATTTGCCCAAGCGATATGTTGTAAGTTCAACAAAGATAATCAATTTCTCTTTAAAAGAGATAAGACTATTTACCACTTACCTTTTTAAAATACGAGTAAAGACAAAGGTTTAATGTGTTACGCACGATTGATACTAGGTTAATATAAATGGATATAAACATTATTTGTAAGTATAAATGTATGTTGACCGGTGTATTTATAATGCTATATAGGCATTCATATGATAAACATCCATGTATATGTGCAAATGGACTTGCTCTAGTTAAGCTAAATGGAAATATGGATACAACCATCCAAGTGGCTACAATTGGGGGAAGGGCCAAAAGTAAGAAAGTACTAGCAAAATTTGGTAGGTTCTTAAAAAAGTAAGGGTAAATATTATAATTAGTCACTAAATTTTATTTTTGGTTTTAATTTGGTCATTAAATTTTTAATTATTTTAAATTTAGTTTCTCAACTATCAATTTCGTCTCAATTAAGTTCTTTCATATTTATTTTTATCTTTAAATTAACTAGAGAATAGCCCAATCAGTTCCATTTTTAAACTTCAAATCATATATTTTTGTTTTAATTTAATGGTAAAAATAAACGAAAGAAATTAATTGGGACAAAATTAACAATTGATGGACTAAATTGAGATAATTAAAAGTTTAGGGGCCAAATTAAAATCAAAAATAAATTTTAAGGACCAACTATGATATTATCCAAAAAGTCCAACTATGATATTACCCAAAAAGTAATAAATCTTTTTTCTTTTCTTACTTATTGCAAGTACTTTTGATGGAAATGAAAGCAAAGAGGAAAAACAAAAAATATTTCAAACCTCCATTACCTAATGGTGGCTAATCTATAATTATCCGTTCTTTCCAAGCTCTCCCAACCGGCACATTGATAGGATTATCATTGTGGGGGATTTTACAAAATTTCACCAAAAAAACTACAAACGACGCAACAAGAAAATATATATAAATGCATAAAAGAGTTCTCTATGATTTCGAAAAAAATTCAATATCGTACCTCTATTTATTATAATTGTGGTTACTTCTATCATAGTTGTAGATGATTTTATCATTATTATGATACTGAAAAAAATGGTAAAAATAATTATCACAACGATAGTAAAAATGTTCAAAAGTGATAAAAATATTTATAAATATAGTAAATTATGACAAAAGTGGTAATTTTTTTTGTATCCAAAAAATAGATAAAAATAATTACTTAAAAAAGTAATAATTTTTTTAGCCGTAAAAGACCCACAAATATTATAAAAATACCAATTAAAATAATAAATTTTAGATATTAAATACGGACTTTTTTTAGTCAATACGGTAATCAAGTCCATGCACGCATAAAAATGTGCAGAAAAATAAGGTAATCAAAAGGATGATTAGGCAAACGACATGCTTTCAAGGAGCGTTGTTTGTCGGATAAAATTTTTTGATGTGTTAAATGTTGTGTATACAGTACTTTTTGACCTACATGGATGGCGTGTTATTTTTAATAATGCCATTGTTGAGAGATTAGATGATCACAATTATATATTTGTTTTTCAAAGTTCAAGAGTATTTGAATTATTTTACGTATATTTTTATTAAATTTTTTTTTCAATTTAATAAAAAACAAACTATCCACAAATAATTCATAGAACTGTAGAATAGTCACAGGCAGTCCAAATACACAATGCAGGACCTTGATTTAAAAATTTAAAGCATAAATATCACTCACACCCC